ACAAACTATTTATTCTGGGGTTTAGAACAAATGTAGGTCATGCTCCGAAATTATATTGACATTGTTGCTTATAATCTCAATAAAAAAAAAAACATATGATCGGGTTTTAATAGGACAAAATATGAATGTTTTACCATATTCTGTCAGTGTGTGTCCATGATTTATGAAACTACCCTCCTTTTGCTACTCAGATACGCTCAGAGGGCCGCATCCTGAAAACTGATCAGGGTCTCCTCATCCGTTCGCTGCAATTTTCTGACAGCGGCATCTACCACTGCACGTCCACAGAGAAGAACTTCAAGCACACTCTGGTGAAGCTGCAGCTTGTTGTCCTCTCCAGCCGTACAGTCAACAACGTGCTGGTGGATACGGGCAACCCTGCCCTCCCCCAAATTCAGTCCAGCACATGGACCCCTAGTGTCGGGCAGTACAAGGACCTGCTGACCATCCTCAGCCAACCGGAGATGGGGCTGATCAACCAATACTGCAAGGACTACTGGCAGAACGGGGACGAAGGCCTCGGGGATAGCAAACCAAAAACCCTGAAGGAGTTGAAGGAGCAGAAGAAGCCCCGCAATCGCCGACATCACGAGGACCAGACGAATCCAGCAGAGACATGAAGAGTTTAGATGGACAGCCTGTCACCTTCAAACAGCACCCTTTGTCTACCTTCTTGTTTCCCCTTACAACCCTCTATTTAAGGGAAACGACTCCATTCAACAGACCATGAGAAAGAAAGCATCACACAGTTTGTATGTAACAGTTGGAAGAACAAACACAATATTTATTGTAGGTTGTACAAAGTAATTCTTTCTACCTATCTAGAAAACACGTTTTTGTGAATAGATCTGTGCAAATATTGTTATAATACTATTGTTATTATAATTATTAGCATTATTGTTTATGACATTGTGTTATTATGTTGGAAATATCTTTGTTTAGTGTTTCCTTTTTTAACAGCAACTATTTCCCATGACTTTAAAGATGTCCACACATACCAGAGTGGATAAACTTCCTATTCTTTGGGCTGTTGGATCTATTGACTGCTGGCATTGCCCTTCACCAGAACAGCCATTGCAAAAAGTGGACACTAAAGAACTGTACATGAAGCAGAAAACAAACTACCTTTCATAATGAAGGTAGGAATGCAGATAAACTGCAGCTGCAGCAGCTCGTTACAAACTCCCAGGAAACTCAAGTAAAGATTGCAAACTGCACTGTACCTATTCTTCCATGATAAGTTGCTGCCAAGTGTTGTTTTTTTTTGCTTGTATGTAAACATCACATCTCATTGTTGTGTTCTCGACATCTTGTTAGAAGCTGTTTCCTTTTTTTCTTGTTTTCTTTTTTCGGAGGCTGAAGCTGAAAACGGAACAATGCCTTCCCCTTCTTTGGAGGTTATTCCAGCGGGCAGCTATATGTCAGTCTGTGATTTAAAAGATATATTAGAGAAAGCACCTTTTGTTGACAGATTGGTAATTCTTATTCAATTCTATAGAAAGTTCTGTTTTTAAAAATGTTGAACACCCTATATGCTACAATGCTGTGAAAAAGTATTTGCCCACTTTGCTTTTGCTGTTTTGTTACATTTTAATAGTTCTAATAATTAACCAGCCGTTAATACCAGGAACAATTAAGCAATTATGCAGCTTTCCTTTGTTTAATTTTTAACGGGGGAAAAAAAGCTAATCCTCACAAGTCTGTCATGTGAAAAACTATATCAGTCGTTTACATCTCTGTGAAGATCCAAGCTGGGGAGGATTTAAAACACAAACAGCTTATTTAAGGTGATGCCTCATCATCTGAATCAGATTTAGGTCAATTATTTAACTAGATTCATGTAAATTACCTTTTTTTTGGGCCATTCAGATAAACTTGTTGCTGTGCTTTGGACCATCGTCCAAAGGGGGTTGAGCTCAAAGTATTTAATTATTATAAAGGGTATAACTAATGTTTCCATTATGTAATGCAAGTTGCTATGATCCTGAAAGAGCAAAGAAGCCCCTTGAACATCAAACTGCTATACCAACATAGTTTTTTTTGTTGTTTGTCTGTTTTTTTTATTTGTTTTTTTGGGGGGTGGGGGTTGTTATATTTGTTTTTTTTTGTTTTTTTCTAACAATATTTAAATTTTAATTTCAGATGTAATAGAGCTTTAGCTCATTTGAAGGGGGCTTTCTAATGGATGCTATTTTTTCCCCAGACTGTTTCTTATTATTGAGCCATGAACGCTGATTTTATCTGAAGAATGTGGTACCTGCAGTGCTTTTGGTGTTAATTTGTGACTTTCTGGATAACTAGTATGGGTCGACCACTCCTGGAAAGGTTCTCAGCTCTTTCATGCTTTCTCCATTTGTTGGAGTCTCTAAGCCTTTGACACGGTTTTGTTACCATTTGCAAACTGATGGAAAACAAAGTAATCAATAATTGTTTTTGCTTGAGTTTTTTAGCTCATGGCATGTGTTTTTTTTCCCCCTTTGAGATATTATTGCCTACTTGGCGTTGGCAGGCTTGAGGTGATTTCTGAACCCTTCATGTCTGTCAGTAACCAGAGCCTGGGTGTAGATAGTGAAACTGAACTTGGTTGTCCAGTCACCATTAATTCAACATAAACAGATGATTAGTTATTCATACAGATCCAGGCTAGTTAGGATTTTCTTTTTTTGCTATATTAATCATTAAAATTGATATTAGGAACTATATTTAACAATTATTTATTTACTCAATTACTTTTCATTATTAGAAATTGTCGCAAAACGTAACACTTTTTCACTGCACTGTAGTTTTTTCATTCCTACCATTTTCATGTAAATATTGGTGAAAATAATGTAATCAGTCTACACAATTGTGCAGATTTATAGTGCTATGATAACTGGTGCTGTACTTTATGTATCATCTGGTTAAAAGAGAGCTTCAGCAGCTCTATTTGTCCGGGTATGGAGCCATCCTTTATTACTGGTGCCACAGACTTCTTACAAACGGCGTAGAAAAATGAAAAAAAAAAAAAAAAAACAGTACCACAATCTTCAGAAATTGAATTTTAAATGTGCATGGCATGTACAGTGTATGTATGTGGTGTTTTTGTCTGAAATGTTGCCGTGGATGTCTTGATTGTTGTCGGAATTCAGACCTTTTTTATTTTGGAAGAAATGCTGAAAGGTTAGAAAGGCTGATTACATTTTTCTTTTTTTTATTTTCATTGTCAGATATAAGATGTAGAGAAAGGACACAGGTCTGCATTTCTGTTATGTGAATCTGTTTTCTCTGTATGACAGGTCTGTGAGGTAATGTATAATAAGCACACTTGGTGGTAATGTAATGACTTGTAAAAACTTATATCTTTTCTTCCTTGTCAATGTTGCTAACTAATAAATTAAAGCTCTATATTTTATAATAACAGGTGTTCTCTAGTATTTTACAGTAAATAATAATAATGGGAAAAAGTACCACAGTAGCACTATTTTTGTTCAATATAAATACCTTTAAAAACACATTTAGAGAAGAACAGGAAAACTTGTTTTGTTTCTAGTATCAGGATTTTTGGGGATAATTTACAATACAAGATAAATGGCATTTGAACTATTATTTATACCCCTTGGAATAATAAAATCCTCATGGGCTTTAAAAAATAAAACAAATTCTTTCATTGCTGACCATCTAGCATGTTTCCATCCATTTCAATTGATTTATCTTGATAAGCTCTTGGTAGGCCTGCTACCCATCACCCTGATGGTTCAACTCAATAGTCTTTACATCATTCCATGCAACACAGAACAACTTCATTCCTTTCCTGCCTCCCATGTTCTTTGATCTTCTTGATGTCTACTTATTATTGTTTGATAAAAACCTCTGAGGCCCTTACAGTATAGCTGTATTTATACTGATTGCATTACATAGAGATGGACTAAATTAACAAGTTAAATAACTTCTGTAAAGGATTGATTAGAAGTTTATTTGGTATAATATGATAAAACAGGCTTTTGGCCCTAAACTTTGTTATGATCCTCCTTATTTGGTGTGGTGACAGCTGCTCCGGCAGAGAAAAATATTCTAATTCCTCACATAAAGCTAGTTTATGTTGATATAAAACTAAAACAATGGCATTCAATGACTATGAGTGCCTTTTATTAATTTATTTTCTAAGCAGAAATTAAAAGTAAAAACCATTCCCTCCAAAGAGGAGCTAGAAACAGAAAACTAAAAGAGGAACCAAATACAGTACATTCTTAATGCGTTTAGGCTCACTTAGGATACACAAGCTTTGTTATGTTCTACATTCTGATCTTCTATATCTGTCCTACTCTGGGTGCTAAAGTTACCTATTTTACAGTTCATACACAATGGTGAGATCAAGAATATGAGTGTATACAAATTTAAACTCACACTGCATATTCATGCAGACCAAAGTGAAAGTGTGAGTGGATTAGGATCCTTAACCACCTTTAGATTTAGGTCAATGAGATCTGTCTGGTGAAACTGCAAATCTCTTTAAGCACTTCAGAACTCCCCTTTAGGCTGTTGGATCCCATGAAAAAATAAATTAATTGAACACGTCTTTGTTTCCTGTGGATGTGTCTCAGTATTTGACCAATAAGTTGGTGTTCTTGATGAGTATTTATGCTGATTTTGTGTTGGTTGTGACAATCTTATCCCATCCTTGCATCTTGTAGAAATCTAAAACCACCATTAGTATAACATCCCTTTTCATTTCTGGAAACATTAAACACTAAACTTGAATATGAACAAGACTTGAACCAAGCTCTTTTAGTTATACAGGCATCTCCTTTGAAAGAGCCTAAGAAGATGGGATAAGCACTTGAGCCGATGTTCATCTTCCGCTGAGCACAGCAAAGTACCCTAAAGGTTATAGCACTCCTACAATGATATATGTCTCCTTCCCTTCACACCTTTGCCCTGTAACTGTATTGTCCTTGTCCTCCATTGGTCAGCACTGGTCAGGTGGGCTTTTGGAGTCCCAAATCCTTCCCTGTGACAGGAAAAAATACTCAAACAATCCCCAGCTGCGGGCAGTTGGAGCATCAGCTGCGTGCTTGAAGGCACCGGTCAGACAGTAGTAGGTGAGCAGCCACCCGGGACCTGCTTCCATTTTTCCTGACACTTGGCTTTTGAAAGAGAGGGAACCAAGCGGGGAAAAGTAGGATGGGGGCCGGAGCCAGCGCCGAAGAGAAACGCTCCAGGGAGTTGGAGAAGAAGCTGAAGGAGGATGCAGACAAGGATGCAAGAACTGTGAAGCTGCTACTACTAGGTAAAGAGACACCTGTTGGAGGAGTGATTCATAAATGATGGCTGTAATAACTCATAGTCAGGTTAATGCCATTCCCAGACATTTTATTATTCTTTTATTATTCTAGTTTATGAGTGAAAGATGAGTAACCTCACTGCTATTTTACTCGTTTTGTAGAGAAATATTTTTGAGGAAAGCAAATTCCCCTAAAACAAATTTGGCATCAACTTTCATATATCAATTTAGGGTCTGCTTACAAGTCATATAAGGAAATTCCTTTGGCTGATTCATTGTTGCAAATATTAGACCTTGTTCTTGTTCAGACCTGTAATTTTACTAGAGCTTGAAAGTCTTTAACAGATGTAAAGATGCAACGTGTCCAAGTCAAGTAGGAGCTTAATAAACTGTGTCACTGAATTGCTGAGACACTCAGATAATCACAGAAGCCAATCTTGTGTTAATCCTGACACTACAGGTCCTCCTGGACAAAGGGATTAACACTGAAGGACAGTGAACCCGAACCAACAAACCCAAACAGAGTTATAGCACCATTATGTTTACAGCTCAATAGTTCAGCTTAAACTAGAGAAATTTTGCAGTTTTGCCATAGTTCAAAAGATATTTTTTTTTACATTCATTGTATGAAAAAAAATATACATTTAATTATATCTTTTTGCATGAAAATAACTGAGTTGTAATGTTTAATGATGATTTTTAGATTTCTAATATTTTATATATACAAAGAAACCAGTTTCAGATATTTAGTAATGCTTCATCATCACCTATTGATGATATGGGTCAGGGTCAAGGAAAAAGATTAGGGCTGAAGTAAGAGGTATTATGCATCTTATTGAGATCAACTCTGTTAGGGCATAGTATACACATTATTCAAATATATTACAAACATAACTGAAAAACACAATTTCTCAAAAGGATATTAGTAACTATGTCAAAGTTGAGTGCTTAGACACGGAGAAGCATGTAGTTCTCTTCAAATCAAAGAAAATATGAGTATATTCCAGTAGTACTTACAAGAAAAAAAATCTCTTTGACATATTCTCTCTCACATAGGGGCTGGAGAATCAGGCAAGAGCACCATTGTCAAACAGATGAAGTAAGAACTTTACATACAAGCTATATTTTATATTCGTTTGTTCAGACTGAATGAACTGATTCACACTAAGCTTTCTCCATCCAGAATTATCCATAAGGATGGTTACTCGCTTGAAGAATGCTTGGAGTTCATCACCATCATTTACAGCAACACTCTGCAGTCCATAATGGCAATCGTGAAGGCTATGAGCACTCTTAACATTAACTTTGGCCACTCTGATCAGCAGGTAACAAAGCAAACATTCCCTAGTTAAAACATTCACAGTAAAACTTCTCATATATAATTATCTGACTGGGTTCTTTCTGTAGGATGATGCCAGGAAACTGATGCATCTTGCAGATACCATTGAGGAAGGAACGATGCCCAAAGAACTGTCAGACATCATCCTGCGTCTGTGGAAGGATTCTGGCATCCAGGCTTGCTTTGACAGAGCCTCAGAGTATCAACTCAATGACTCAGCTGGATAGTAAGCAACAACTTTGAGCATTGCTTAAGTCAGAGGTCTCGAACCCTGGTCCTCCGGTTTTAGATACAGGTGCTGGTCATAAAATTAGAATATCATGAAAAAGTAGATTGATTTCAGTAATTCCATTTAAAAAGTGAAACTTGTATATTATATTCATACATTACATACAAACTCATATATTTCAGATGTTTATTTTGTTTAATTTTGATGATTACAAATGACAACAAATGAAAATCTCAAATTCATCATATCAGAAAATTAGAATATTGTGAAAAGGTTCAAAATTGATGGCCCCTGGTGCCACACTCTAATCAGCTAATTAACTCAAACCACCTGCAAAAGCCTTTAAATGGTCTTTCAGTCTAGTTCTATAGGCTACACAATCATGGGGAAGACTGCTGACTTGACAGTTGTCCAAAAGACGACCATCGACACCTTGCACAAGGAGGGCAAGACACAAAAGGTCATCGCTAAAGAGGCTGGCTGTTCACAGAGCTCAGTGTCCAAGCACATTAATAGAGAGGCGAAGGGAAGGAAAAGATGTGGTCGAAAAAAGTGTACAAGCAAGAGAGATAACCGCACCCTGGAGAGGATTGTGAAACAAAACCCCTTCAAAAATGTGGGGGAGATTCACAAAGAGTGGACTGCAGCTGGAGTGAGTGCTTCAAGAACCACCACACACAGACGTATGAAAGACATGGGTTTCTGCTGTCGCATTCCTTGTGTCAAGCCACTCTTGAACCACAGACAGCGTCAGAAGCGTCTTGCCTGGGCTAAAGAGAAACAGGACTGGACTGCTGGTGAGTGGTCCAAAGTCATGTTCTCTGATGAAAGTAAATTTTGCATTTCCTTTGGAAATCAAGGTCCCAGAGTCTGGAGGAAAAGAAGAGAGGCACTTCATCCACGTTGCTTGAAGTCCAGTGTAAAGTTTCCACAGTCAGTGATGGTTTGGGGTGCCATGTCATCTGCTGGTGTTGGTCCATTGTGTTTTCTGAGGTCCAGGGTCAACGCAGCCACATACCAGGAAGTTTTAGAGCACTTCATGCTTCCTGCAGCTGACCAACTTTTTGGAGATGCAGATTTCATTTTCCAACAGGACTTGGCACCTGCACACAGTGCCAAAGCTACCAGTACCTGGTTGAAGGACCATGGTATCCCTGTTCTTAATTGGCCAGCAAACTCTCCTGACCTTAACCCCATAGAAAATCTATGGGGTATTGTGAAGAAGAAGATGCAATACACCAGACCCAACAATTCAGAAGAGCTAAAAGCCACTATTAGAGCAACCTGGGCTATCATAACACCTGAGCAGTGCTACAGACTGATCGACTCCATGCCACGCCGCATTGCTGCAGTAATACAGGCCAAAGGAGGCCCAACTAAATACTGAGTGCTGTACATGCTCATACTTTTCATGTTCATACTTTTCAGTTGGCCAACATTTCTATAAATCCTTTGTTTTTATTGGTCTTCAGTAATATTCTAATTTTCTGATATGATGAATTTGAGATTTTCATTTGTTGTCATTTGTAATCATCAAAATTAAACAAAATAAACATCTGAAATATATGAGTTTGTATGTAATGTATGAATATAATATACAAGTTTCACTTTTTAAATGGAATTACTGAAATCAATCTACTTTTTCATGATATTCTAATTTTATGACCAGCACCTGTATATCCCTGCTCCAGCTGAAGCAAATCAATCATCCCTACCAGGCCTTTGGTAAACCTAATGGCACATTGAAGCGGTAATTTACTCCTTTTAAATAGTAGTGTTGGAGCAGGGATGCATCTAAAATCTGCAGGACCGTAGATCTTGAGGACCAGTGTTGGAGACTCCAGCAATCTTTAAAAAAAAGTATCTGGACATAGTATGATTTTCCTATAGCTACCTTGATGACCTGGAGCGACTGGTTCAACCAGGCTATGTGCCCACTGAGCAGGATGTGCTACGTTCAAGAGTGAAAACCACTGGTATCATTGAGACCCAGTTCTCCCTCAAAGATCTAAACTTCAGGTGAGTTTGTTAATTATTCCTCAGAAAACAAGAGTTTAGCTTGGATGATTATATAGAATTTTTTGTTTTTCTTTGGTCCAGAATGTTTGATGTTGGCGGCCAGAGGTCAGAGAGGAAAAAGTGGATTCATTGTTTTGAAGGCGTCACCTGTATCATCTTCATTGCTGCTTTGAGCGCCTATGACATGGTGTTGGTGGAGGATGACGAAGTGGTATGATAGATTTAACCATTCTAAATATTTGATGTTGAAAACTCAAAAACTGGTTAACTTACAATGCTGTCTCCTCTCAGAACCGGATGCACGAGAGTCTGCACTTGTTCAACAGTATCTGCAACCACCGCTACTTTGCAGCCACCTCCATTGTGCTCTTCCTCAACAAGAAGGATGTGTTCATTGAGAAGATCAAGAAAGCTCATCTCAGCATGTGCTTCCCAGAGTATGATGGTGAGGTCTCCATCAACTACTGATACCATCTTCAATGCATAATATAACAGTATTATCAGCGTAACAGGATCCAGTCTGGAAAATTGAGAATAAACCAATTCAGGCTTTGACTGTCGCTTTGTAGTGGCTGCTGAAATCAGACGTTCATAGACGCAGCTTGTAGATTTTGGAAAATTAGCAGAATGTGTTGTGAGCTTATTTTCTTTGGTTGCTTAGCATCCATTTCTCCATCTATTTCTGAAAAGGAAGCATTTACAAAAGGCCTAAACTTAACTTCTATTTTCCTTTTGTCCTGCCAAGGCCCCAACACTTATGAGGATGCTGGTAACTACATCAAAATGCAGTTCCTGGACCTGAACATGCGCAGAGACATCAAAGAAATCTACTCGCACATGACCTGTGCTACAGACACAGAAAACGTCAAGTTTGTGTTTGATGCTGTAACCGACATCATCATCAAAGAAAACCTGAAAGACTGCGGTCTCTTCTGAGAGCCCAGCCAGGAAATCAAATTAAGGTCAGCAAAGCTTAAAGGACTAGTTCCTAACTAAGACCCATTGCTCACCTAACTAACATGTTTTTTTTTTCTTTTACAGTGTAGTGTCTTAGCCCTGTCACATTCCACAGAGTCCTCCACAATTTAAACATGGGGAATGAAGAATGAAACTGTCCCAGCAAAGAGCCATCCTAAAACCAGTGAATGCACAACAAAAATAAAATTACATTTGCTGTGTTAAAAATCAAACCTGCAGCTTTGACCAAAGACTCCTTGTCACTGAGACATGGAACGAATCCTGTGCAGATCTCAAGAGGGTTGCTTTATTTTTATTTATTTATTTATTTATTTATTTATTTATTTTTTTGGATCAAACCTTTCTCCTAAATTCATCTTTGGAGGGCAATGCAATCTTTAGCTTTTGTCTGCATAAACAGATTTCTTTTCAGATCTACTCCTATCAATAGATGCAGTGTCTCTGAGCTCAAGTAATCAAGCAGCATACAATCAATCAAAGGGCTAATTAAATGGTCTCACCACCTGCAAATGCACTTCAGCATCAGTTAGACTTTAAGATGAATTTTCACTAGAAAAAGCGTTTTATAAAAAATACAAAACAACACAGTTTGTAACACAAGAAGTTTATCATTTTAACTTCTGAGGGAAGTGTTAGCTTCTTTTTGTTGTTGTAGAGGTTGAAAAGGGCCATTGTATATAATTACTCAGATTTCTAATGGTGTGTCATTATACTCTGTAAATCAATATACTGTTAAGTTAGAGATTAATTTAACTCCAATTTGAAGTTCCCTGTTTAAAGCATTTGAGTCAATTTATCTGTACTAAAATCCAGAGAAAACCAGAAATGTACAAGTTTGATTAAACTTATTAAAGCTTCTGTAGAAAACTCAGTAGTGTGTCCATTTTTTTGGCATGAATATCTGCACAATCGTGAATCTAGAGAGTTTTACATCGGGGAGGGAAGGAGGCTCAAAATGTCTAATGGCTCCACAAAATGAATAAGGTAAATAAATAACTTTAATTAACATTATTATACATAATCATTATGACTAATTTCAAATATTTCTCTTTGGAGGGTTTATGATTATTGTTTTGTTGGAAAAAAACAAGAGAACCAAATGTAATATCTCTACATTGGAATTCCTACTGAGAATGCATACATAACAGGTGATCCAGTTGGATAGGCTGGATTCCCAGACTCTTCACCACTTACTCTAGCATTATTTTCCTCATCTTTACTCAATTCTTTAGCTGTTGCACGTTCAGTTGACTCTTTCACCCATGACCCAGAGGTGGGTCCATTCTTGTGTACTTTGACATGTACACAATTATGGGAGTACATGAATTAGGAAATACACCACCTCTGGAACAAGCAGTTTTAAACCAGTGGGTGACAACAATAATACCATTATGTCCTACTTTTATATTTTAAAGTTATGTTAATAAAAAACTGACCACAAAAATGCAGCAATTAATTATTATCAATATAAGTAAATAATCATTCCATTTAATACATAAAATAATTTAAACAGCAATGATGTTTAAATATTTTCATAGCTTTATTTGTTAGAGCATCATGAGAATCTGGTCTGTCTTCATTGATTTTTTGGAAAATATAAATTTCTATGTTCATGTTCCTGTTGGTTCATTGTGATGAGTAAAGAGTGACTCAAAACTGGTTTTGGCACCAATTAGTTTTCAGCCACATTTCAGTGCATATTGGAGTCCCTGCCTGGCCACCCAATAAAAACTTTCTAGAACTGCTGGTCTCCTCCCTTTTCTCCTTGAGGTACGTTTCCTGCAAAGTCTTCCAAATTTCTGTGGCACTCGTCAGCTGAAAACATAGAGGTGTATAATTCGATATAACTGGCATGAATATTTCCGTATTGTTTGATACACAGGCTTATATCAGTGCCAACCACTCTTTCGCGTGGATCTTAAATTTCTGAATAATATATGCAACTATATTAGCAGGAACACCAAGCTGCTTGTAAATGGTCTTATAGCCTAACCTTTAACATGCTTGTCCATGATTTTCTTTCTTATCTCTTGAGCCAACTCTTTCCTTCTCTTCCTCTGGTCCATGGTGAGTGTTGTACACACCATGGGTGTGTTCAGATCCAGTGTATGCGTCCCCCAAAGCCCAGATTTCACTCGCTTGCTAGGACAGTTCTGGTGCATCGTTCATAGCCTATCCCATGATTCATTGCGAGCTCAAGCAATGCTGCTCCTTGCTCAGAAGAAAAAGGGAAATGGTGACAAACAGAGGTGAATATTGTAAATGCAGTTTAATATAATGCAAGTATGTGAATGGGTTTGTCTTAAATGAATGAAAATTGTTCATTTAACTGTCATGAGAATTTTTGGTTTATTGAAATGTTTCATCTGTGCCTGTACAAACTGGTTTGCATTAGATCTACTATTGCATATAGTTGTACCCAAGTAATGCAAGCAGTGTTTAAAGATGGAAGCATAAATAACTAGAGTGCAGACCTCTGACAAGGAGCAAATTTAGCCCCTAATTGTGACTTACACCTACAGCTAAGTCTAACACAAGATTTGGATCATTACCTAGTTTTAATGAATTTGTCCTTAGTAGGATGCACACCTCTGGTAAAAAAAAATAAGTTTTAAGTTCATAAGTTTTCAATTGATCCACTGATAAAATACCTCCAGATTTTATGAGTCCGATGCTAAAGTTCAATTCAATTGCCACTGCTGGCAAACCCCTGGTTTACAGAGTAACTGCTTGTTCAACCAAAAATCCCCATCTCATAATTTTAAAGAATTTCTTTAAAAATATCCTGTATCCAGAATATAATCTGAATAATCACCAAAACGTAATGGATTGTTACTGGGAATGAGGGACACCTGTGATAAAAAATGTCATTAAAATCCGTCAAAATTTTTTAAAGTTATCCTGTACACAGACAGAAAGACAGACCCACAAACTCTCCAAAAAACACAGCCTCCTTGACGGAGGTAATAAAGGTCATCATAAATTAGAACGTAGTAGGCAACATTTCAATTTTATTTCTTACGAAAGCATTCACTGATTTTTGTAATTCTATTAAACCCTGAGTTTTTAACCACATAGCAGGTATGACATGCACTAAAAGAAACATTCAGTCTCTTCTGTAAAAGTACATACCATAAACAATTATCACCAATATGAACCTAGCATCTAAAAAACACATTTTATGGCTTGAAATGGATAAAAAGAACTGCAGATAAATATGGAATGAAACATTCGTGCAATAAAAAAGTGGCTGTAAAATATGTTTAACAATGTTTTTTCCTTTCTAATATGCACCATATAGCATCCAGAAATACTAAGACAAATAGAAGGCACTTGAACAGTCATCCCTGAACCTTTACTCTGTTGGGGGCATACAGCAGTTATTTGCCCTTTCTAAGACAAAAAAAAAAAAAAAAACATAGCAAGATGAACACTTGACTTTCTCAATCTCCTATTTTCTCAGACTTGTCTGCCAGTTTTAAAGGCAGGACACATTTTTCTCTCCAGACCTTCTATTCCTGCCTAGATATGTATGAGCAATTTAACAGAGATGCACCAAGGAACTGATTGGCGATTAGGTTTTGACTGAGTTTTGACCGGTGACTAAATTAAAAAAAAGATTTCTTTCGAAACTGTGAAGTGAAGAAGTTTAACTTATTTCAGTAGGAGGTCAAAACTAAAATCTGGTGAAGTGAAGGAGGTTTAAAAGAAAGAACTGTGGAAATTGGACTAGGAAAACATTTATCCGATAACAAGAAGTCTGAGCAGATTACAGAAATGACGCTCTTTTTATCCTATTAAACTTTTAATAGGATATTAGATTTGGAGATTTTGGCAGCCTTTTGAAAAATAAGAATAGTTTCACAGCCGTTGCTCTTTCTCAAACACTTATATTACCTTTACTTTGAATATAAATAACTACTAACTTCTCGCAGTAGAAATTTAGAAAAAAAAAAAACTGAATGTTGTTTGTGCCTATATTAAGATTTAATTTCTTAAAGTGATTAGGATCAGCTAAAACCAGCATCAAAGTTTTACTAAATCCAGCGATTTGCCATGAGGTTCTGAAGGGTGCATCTCTATTTTGGATATTTTACTTTAGAATTGTCAAAAAAAAAAAGGAAAATAAAACCAAAGCCATACAGTAATGCTGATTGAATGAAAAATAACTGGAGTAAAAAGCAGCAGTTTTTAAGCATTTTAAAAACGGTCTGTGCAGCCCTTACATAAAAGCCCTGATCTAATCAAGTAGATCAACTTCAAAAGGAGGCACTAATTCTCAGGTTTTAAAGACTGGCTTCCATGAAGGCCATGTTTCTTACAGGTCATGCATTGAATTAAAGTGAGGTTAATGGCACTGATCCCATTATGTGGTTATTTCTGTCATGTCTCACAGCTCCGCTGAATTTACATGCAATATTTACCCACAATACTTGAGCAGACATCTCAGTTAGTCTAAAAACCTCTTTTTCTCAGTTTAGAAATAATAATGAAAACTCCTTCCTTTAATCTGAGAGTTATCATCACTATTTTATGCTAATTTCCACTTCCAGAAACCTTTTTCTTTAATACCATAAGTGATAGAATTGTGTTCTCAGGATTCATTGGTGTCTGTTTCCTGGCTGGTTCCAGAGCTGAGAAACAGGCGAGGACGAAGACTCTGACCAGAGGACGCTGTCTTCTGTAGTCTCTTAGATGCAATGTCACCACATCTGTCCTTTGTTCTCAAAAAAGTCCCACCATATGATCAATCTGCCTCATGTAGACACTCTTTAATGGCAGAGCATAGCGGCGCTCCTCAGGAATCCTGTTACACTGCAGAATCAGATGGAAGAAAGCAGTTAAATATAATTCCTATTAAATCTGTTATGACATTTCACACTTTTCCACATTCAGATTTCTTTTAAAAGCATTTTTTAAAATACTACCAAAAGCTATAACTCGATGGTGGGGGGGATGTCTGTGTTGTGTTTTTTTTGTCTTACATTACTGATGTTGCTTGTAGGCAACTGGTTGTTCGCAGCCTCTTCACATGGACACAAATCGCTCCACTGTTTCTCCCTGAAGCGCTTGTCTATAGGCACTACATGACCCTCTGTTGTGAAGATGTACTTGTTGTCAGATTTGTGCAGTGGGTTGTCTTCGTCGAACAGCTGCAAACCAGAGAAAGAGACAACAATAATCACTCAGGAAAACACTTTGAAAATCAAAATTAAAAAAGGACAGAAGACCCTATTCCTTTTGTAAAATAAAAAAAGAAGAAGAGAAGTGTAATTACCAATAAGCTTCCTTAATATGGCAAAATAATAATATCCAAAAAGTGTTTTGATAATGAATTTGTAAAAAAAAAAAAATAATAATAATAATAATAATAACAGAAACAAACAAAAAAATGAACAATCCAGAACCTTAATGCTGATACAGAAACTTATATTTTTTTACTTTGTAACTTAGTTTTTTCAACTCTTTTACCTAGCTTATTATTTTTTCAACTAAACTTCTTAACTTTCTCTTTTTACTTAATTTAGAGTAGGTAACATACCACACACAGTATAGGCCACATTAGATTACTGGTGTTACTATCCTATAAAGCAGTTACATTAAACCTTTTGGATAGAAGCGGACCTTCCAGACCCTGCACACCACATTTGACCTCAAAATTCTGCCTTGCTTGCAGAGTTACAAGTTACCAAAAATTGTAACTTGCACAATCATGTATTGTTTTGTATGTTAACATTAGATTGCAAGTCGTCCATTTCAGCACTAGAGGTCACTAAATCTTTTGTTTTTGTCCATAGCCACACATAAGAGACAAAAGAATTACCCCAAAAATGTTTCCACTTCCGCAAATTAACATCAATCACAGTATAATATTAAGTTAAAACTCACAAGATAAAGATATTTGCAGGTTTCACTGAGGAAAAAGCTCTCCATGCGATCTTCTTTGGATTTATCCACAACATGATGGAGTGTAGCATATCCACATCTGCAATCAACACACCACAGTTCAGTGTAAAATAGCAAATGTACATGAAGTTTTATTTATACTAGGGCTGCAACTAACGATTATTTTAAAAATCGATGAATCGGACGATTATTTTTTCGATTAATCGATGAATCGGACAAAAAATATTTTTTATATTAACCTCTTTATTCCAAAATAAACATTTTAGACAGAACAAACAAGCACACAAGTACAGGTTGCTCATTAACTGGTGCAATATGAAAAATAAATGTTTGTGTTAAAACTACGCAAACTTACATGAGAAATGTAGCTGTACATCCACAAAATATAGGCTACTTTGTTTCATAAAGCGCAAAAAAAGACATTTTTGTTTTTTAAAGCCCCTAAGGGGTTCAAACAATAGGCCCCCCCATTTCAACAAATGAGTTTTTTTAGACTAGAAGAGTTCTGCCTTTTAAGACAGGAAAGTATAGCAGTTAAAGTTACTACTTGAGAAAATACTGAACCATAGAGATAAAAATAGCCCTGTGATTCAAATTATAAATTGTATTTGGAATAAAAATGAGAGAACTAGGGGTGTTAAAGAACACATCCTCCAAAGACTCCAATTTACATGGGAATGTGGCATATAATTAATTGACATATTACTGATCTTGCTGGATTTTATTCTGCTTTACTTCCATAAATTGCAGGATCCTCTTTACTTTATCTTTGACAGAAGATTTAAACTTTACAAGCCTTGCCCTCATAATTTGCAAGTTAATTTATTTATAAAGTAAATGTAAACGCTGCTTAAGCTAATTCAAATGAAATTAAAAGTAAAATAAGTAGCCTTATCACTGTCTGTAACCTACTAACACGGTAAGGAAAGCATCAGATGAGCTACCTGAGAAACTAACGTAACGTTTCCCCACTTTAAAACCAAACAAACATGGTGGTTCCGTGCCATGTTAATTTCTTTTGAAAAAAGTTGCATGTTATCACTTTTTTCACTTTACAAAGCGCAGGCTATTTTAATTATTGTGATCAATTTGCGCCGTCAATCCCGGTGCATGCGCGCTTCATTTGCAGTCTGGACGCTGAGGCTCTGACTGCAGCGCTGAGAGGGACTCCTGCGGGAGTGGGGGGAGGCGCCCCACGGCAGAGTAGGAACGATACATGCTTTCACGTAAGAGTCTCCAAAAGCCGCCAGTGACACCGAAAAAAGTCGCCAGATTTGTCGCTAGTCGCTTTTTTGAAAAATTGTCGCTGGAGGGGTCTGAAAAGTCGCTGAGTTGGCAACACTGCACCTGCGGCGCTGACTCGCTCTGCCATATTTTTTTTTCTTCCTCTTTCAGTCAAGAGGCAGTGATGACGGCGCGGCGGATGACGCAATAATCGATGATGAAATTCGTTGCCAACGCTTTTAAAAGTCGATTTTTATCGATTTTATCGATTCGTTGTTGCAGCCCTAATTTATACATGTTCAAAAACGGTTGAAACAAAGTAAGACATACAATATAAGTATATCAATACCTGACTTTGGAATTTTTCTCAAGGCTCTGTAGAATATCCATTCCAACATGCAAATAGAAAGGATTTTTTGTTGCCTGTTAGAAGAAAATGAGAAAAAAAAAAGACTCGTTAAAAAAACAAGGTTTATTGATAAAACCCAAATCCTTTAGGGTTAATACCTGGTACAGCAGGTAGGTCGACTCCACCAGCTCTGGTCTTAAAGGGTAAAATAACACATCGGGAGCCTTCAGTTGCCAGTTATATCTCTCCGGCAGAGCTCCGAAACGCTTCCAGATGGCGTAGTAGAAGGCATGCACGCAAATGGCATCATCGATATCTCCATTCAGAACCTTTAAGTTACAGATACCCTTATTATTGCAACATCATTTACAATCACATTTCTGTCAGTGTAAATCAAAGGATCCCACCTGAAGCCCAGGAAAAAAGGCCTGAAGAGAATCGATCCAAGTGTTCATTATCTCACCGCTGAACATGTTCACATTCACATAGAGAGGTGGGTCCCCCTCACCTTCGTTGCAAGACTCCCGCCTGCAGAAGAAAAAAAGGTATCAGAATATTCAATTTCACATTTTTAAAGAAAAACACGTAGCTATACGGCACTTTTCATAGACACTCTGAACTTCTTCACATGTTTTTTTTTTTACATAATAAACCTAAACTTCAGCAAATTGTATGGGGATTCTATGTGATAGACCAACAAAGAGCAGGGCAGAGCAGCGAAACTGAAGGAAAGTTATTATTGTTTTTTTGCAGGATTTGCGTTTAAATAAAGCCCAACATAACATCTAGTCTAACAGGGGAGTGGCAGCCTAGTGTTTAGGGCATAGAGCTTGGAATCCCGAGGTTCTGAGTTCGAGCCCCACTCCCACAGACTGCCACTCTAGCTCCCTGAGCAAGAACCTTAACCCCACACTGATCCTTGGGTGCCCCACAATGTCAGCCCACTGCTCCCCAAAGGGATGGGCTAAATGCAGAGGTAAATTTCTCCAATGTGAGATCAATAAAGCTCAATTATATATCAATTATTAATTAACAGAAGCATGAACACCTGTTTGTTTAAGGTTACCTCCAAAGGTTGACATTGGAATGTTGAATATAAATGAACATCACATTTTTGTTGTTTTCTGTTTTGTTGTTTTGGAGTGGCAGCCTAGTGGTTAGGGAATTGCGCTTAGATCCCAAAGGTTCTGAGTCCAAGCCTCACTCCCTCTGACTGCCAATCTGGGTCCCTGAGCAAGACCTTTAACTCCCACCTTGTTCCCTGGGTGCCACAGAATGGCAGCCCACTGCTTCCCAAATGCAGAGAGTGAATTTCATTGCTTTGTTGCAGTGATAATTTAATGACAATGAAGTTGAATTCTATTCTATTCTAAGTAAAATCTTGTATACCTTCCTTTCCAGTTCAAACCAAGGAACTACTTTGTTTTTTAATTAAAATCCCAAAAACATGCACTGAGCCCTGCAGCTGCAACATGAAAACACGTGGGAAAGTTCATGGTATAAAAGTACTTCAGCAAAACACTATATATGATAATTAGCCATGCTAGTATTATAATTCTTTTGCAATTTATAGCTTCCACATAGAAAATTACTCTGGAACATCCCCTTGTTTAATTCCTCTTTTTGGACATTTCCTGACAAACACAGATCCTGTTGCTGACATACGCTTAGCATTTCAGCAGCACTCTAATCTATATAATAATAATTCAGTAGAATGAAATATAAAGAGCATAAAATGGTCCATCTCTTTCAGTGTGGGACTCACCCTCTTCTCATGTGGTTCTGAATGCTCTCATAAGCAGCTTTAAACATCTGGTAGTCCTCTTTCTCCCCAAAAAGGATGTAGGATTTAAGCAAATACTCATAAAAGGAGTCCATGCCAGCTCCAAGTCCACTCTGCTTACTGACCCACTGGCCTGTTTGGATATTAATAACATTCCCTGAAGAAAGGAACCACAGAAAAAATTAGAATAAGAGGCAAGGGGAACATATTAAAAAGAAAACAAGAGGAATAAGGGCCTGCATAGTGAAACTAGAAGTCATTCACACGAATTTCACTTACCCAACAGACCAGTTTCGTTGCTTCTCAGACTCCACAGAGCTCTGACAGCTCGCCTCGCCACCCATTCAAACGTTGAATCCCCAATCAGGCGGCTCAGAATGCCAAACTCCACCAGCAGGGACCCAGCGCCTGCAGTGCATGTCTCATTGATGCTATCCCTGGGAACTCCAGTCTTCAGGTTCACCTGCAAGCAGGACCAAGACCAACGATGGGTCCTAATGTTGCACTTAGAGGAGGAAAGATCTCACTAGCAATAGGAGGAGACATCTCACTCACCCTCGGGTAAGGAATACCCGTGCTGGTGTTCTCAAAAGCAGGCAGCAAGCGCACAGCCAGGTCATGAGCCAGATGTAGAAGCTCGTTTTCATAGCCTTCGAAGCCCACTTCTCCAAATGGCTGTCTAGGGTCAGTCAGCAGAATATGTGCTGAGATAAGGCTGCCAAGGATCCTTCAGAGATAGAAAAGGAAGGTGGACTTTACAGATATTAAGGGGCACAGGGGCAATCACACTTTTCTAGCTTTAAAATCTTGCTACTTGATCTGCCCAGAACAGGAAAACTCAATTAATACTGGTAAAAGGCAAAACTGTCTTATCATTGCATTAAAAATTATTTTTACCATTCAAAATTTGGAATCTTTTCCCTCATTATGTCTTTTTGAAAATAATAGTGAAACCCAGTAAAAACAGCAACAGCCCTCTCTCACAAGACATGATGTCACTCCTGCCCCTATTATAGATAATTAACAACTGCCAACAAAAGGATGGTTTGAGAGAGATTTTGAACACAGGACTTTTATCCACTTATATTATAGTGATTAAGGAGAAGTCAGAACTGAATAATGTATTTTAGCCAGCTATAATGAGACACACAATGAAGGGAAGTTGTCAAAATAAAGAAAAGAATGCAGCTAAATGATCCAGTTACCTCATGAGATGGACATAATAGTGACAATCAGCCATTTTAAAAGCTGAGAACATGCATCAAGAAGCACCTAAACAACTGAATCTTTAACCTTGTAACTGTGCTATGATGATGAAAAAGAAAAACTGACCACAAGTCAGACAGTTTTCAGAAAAATCTAAGGACACTTTTATACCTGATGTTTGCCTCGAAGACTTGCACAGTCGAATCCTTGTCAAAAGACACGGTATCTATAACCAGTTTGACAGCTCTCTGGAACTCTGTAACATTGCCAAGCACCTGGTGGAACAAGAAACCCAGTTGACTACAACTGCATTATCTCTCTGATACTGCAGCATGTTTTAAAAGGAAAACCCTTAAAAGGGCAAATGTTAAAGGAATAGTACACCCAAAACATGATTAGCCTTCATTTTCTACTCACCCCCATGCTGAACAACACTCTGGAGTACTTTTTTGATATCTCAAATGCATCTGGAGATCTGGGAGGCTTCTTGCTGTCTGTTGACGTTCAAATAATGGAGGTCTATGGTGACCGAGGCAGAAAGGTCCATAAAAATCCACAAAAAACGTGTCAATATTCCTCCATACTGCTCGTCCAATGTATTCCAAGTGTCCTGAGTGGGTAGCATCCAGAATTTACTCGAAACGAAGTCATTTAGAATGTTTTTAGAGCATAAACAGTAGTGTATAGGATTTCCTGAAAGAGCGCACATGCGCGCTCACGACGCTACGGAAGCCGGCAGACCAAACCAGCGCATTCAGCTCGGTAAAAAAACTCATGCTCTTCCTCAACACTGAAGTCCTCAGACATTTTTCTTTCGTTGTTTCTTTCTTTGCACAGGTAAACGGCACATTTCTTCTTCTACGCTTGCATTATTGGCAGAGCAGACGCTGAATGCGCACTCTCATCTGGTTTGGTCTGCCGGCTTCCGTAGCGTCGTGAGCGCGCATGTGCGCGCTTTCAGGAAATCCTATACACTACTGTTTATGCTCTAAAAACATTCTAAATGACTTCGTTTCGAGTAAATTCTGGATGCTACCCACTCAGGACACTTGGAATACATTGGACGAGCAGTATGGAGGAATATTGACACGTTTTTTGTGGACTTTTATGGACCTTTCTGCCTCGGGCACCATAGACCTCCATTATTTGAATGTCAACAGACAGCAAGAAGCCTCCCAGATCTCCAGATGCATTTGAGATATCAAAAAAGTACTCCAGAATGTTGTTCAGCATGGGGGTGAGTAGAAAATGAAGGCTAATCATGTTTTGGGTGTACTATTCCTTTAAGGCTTATTCAAATACAGTCACTTTAAGAGCAGCGGAAGACTAATGTCTTAAAAAGCAATTAGAAATGTTGGGGTAAAGAGTAAAGGTTCAGGTTTACATTCTTGTTTCTTTATTTTTTATCTTCCCAGCTTAGTCCTACGATAGACGAAAGGAAAAAATAGGAACTAACTTACCAGAAGAGTGTCTAAAGTGTCAATGAGTGTCAGTGAATAGTTTCCCAAGACGTCATTAATATTGATGTTTGACCTAAAAAAAAAAAAAAAAAACTCTCTTTAGACACTACAAAACAGAACAGTACAATTTCCTGTGCTTACTTTTTAGAGTTCACACAATGTTTGGAGAAGACATGTAATCAGTCTAATCAACTCTTCAAAGTCACAGTTTGCTTAGTTTTGGAAACAGGCAGCTGATCTGACAGCAGAAGGTGTAAAAATGTGTAATATGTTATATTTACTTCAAGATATTGCACTGCTTCTACATTAAAAGGTATAAATGATGAGGGAATTTGTTCTAAAAAAAAAAAAAAAAACTCTCTTATGCATATAATCAAATATGTTTATAAGAAAAAAACATGCCCTTTTTTTATTCTTTTAACTGTTTTGACTTTGCATCAAAACATTCAACATAAATACTACCTTAAGAACTTCGAAGTCTAGAGGGTGTAGTCAAAACCTTAACCATACTGAACAACTGTGAGGTCACATGAGTCACAATGACCAACACAACCACTTTGGTTAACACGCGATTCTTCTCCATCGTCACGATCACTGCTCTATGAGAGCTGCAGGAGCTTTATTAATAAATGTGTATCTGGTTTGGGCATAGAGAGCTCTGACAGTCCATCCAACTGACCAAAGATACAAGCATGTAGATTGTAGATAGATGGCAAATGTAATGCCCAACCAAATAATATACTGCATCCAATAAATTGTTTGCAGTTACAATCCAATAGATTGTGCAGCTCTGCAACTTTAAGGGTTGTTCTCTTTAACTAAACATGACTTATTACCTAATGACTTCATGGTGTTTTTTTTAAAGCATGCAATTATTAATATACTGATTTTACTATTTAAAAGGAGCACAATGTATTTTTGTTCCAAAAACCAATTAACATGTGATATGAAATAGATTTGTCAAAAATTAGAAATCTTTGAAATTCATTTTATAAAGATTGTTCTTTTATGGATTATCTCATGAGAACTGGAGTTTCAAATGATTGACCTAGTTTGAAATAAACTCTTAAAATTGGTGTTTGACACTTTATTTTCTGAAACATTTATTGCTTATTTTACACAAAGTTTAGAAGAGCACACACCTAAAAGTTATTAAAGGTTGTAAGAACTACATTAAAAGGATCTCTGATAAGTTTAAAATCATCCTATATATATATATTTTTTTTTACAATTTTTTGTACAATTGTTGCTTGGTCCGCTAAAGGTATGTTTTAGAATCTCTATAGTCCAGTTAATGTTTAATCTATTACTAAATTAGTTGATGATTATTTCAATTATCGATTAAATAGGGGAGTGTTGGCCTAGTGGGTTAGAGCAGTGCTCTAGTGCTCTGAGAAGGCTGCAAGTACACTGAAAAAAATTATATAAAATATGTCCTACCCTGTAACATGAAACAATTGTGTTAAAGTAACTAAATATGATTAAGTAAATGCCAAAAACTGTTGTATTATTTTTTTTTTCAGTGTACCCCTACAGCATCCACTCTGGTTTCCTAAGCAAAACCCTTAACAGCTCTCCAAAGGGATGGTTCAAATAGGACAACAAAGGGATCTACATTACATTTCCATATTTCAGAGCTGTGCATAGATATAACAGACACCATGGTGAAGTTTGGATATGGAAGTTGTTTTCAGTGTCTCCTAGCTATGGTGGTTCGGCTCTCTCTGCTACATCAGATCTGTAAAATTAAGCACCTGATATAAAGTAATCCAGCATACATCAACATTTCGATTTTAAGATATGTCATGTCTTTAAATGAGGCGTGAAACATCTCAGACATGAGGGTCAGTGCGCCTCCAGGACATGTTGGGAGATGTATGGACCACTTGGTTCTTTAGCAAAGCTGACATGCCTTATTTGGCAACAAAGTGAAAATGCTAATTTCAGCTTAGTTAAAACCAGTGACTGATAAGGATGAGAACTGGCCAGTCCCCATAGTGACTTACGGGTTAAGCACATCTGGACCTCTACCCTCACAATCAATGGGATTCAGCTCGTCCTCTGGAAAGGCATACTTCATGTAGTTGTCGTATCCAAAGTAAAACATTTCTCTGGCCATGTCTTTCATTTTCAGCTTCAGCGTGTCTGGGAAGGAGCTGTACCTCCGGACGTACTCGTCCTTGTTGCCATCAAAGAAGTTAAGGTAGGACCTCCAGGGTGGGGAAGCCTCCCCAATATTTGCGCAGGGACTCGCCGTCTCTTCATACCTGTGGCCCTGGATCCGCTGGGACCAAGAATTAGTGCTCGAGTCGGCTGTTTTTTCCTCCCTGAACAGCAAGTCCAGTTTGTGCAAATTAAAACCGAGGTGAAAGTTGAAGCCTGAGCTAACGTTAGGTCCAAGCCCGAAGGCTAGCCATAGAACCCAGCTTACAGAGAGTCTCAGGACCACCAAGCCCACTACGAGTGACCTCCATTGCATCTTTGCCTTGGGTCGATCATAAAGCACATAACCCGAGTCCTCATTACCTCCGAGGTGTATCCAAACAGGAAAACCACTCAGCGTCAGACTAAAACTACAGGCACTCAGCCTCTTAGGTTGGGGATTCCTCCTCACACACTTCCTGTCAACAAACCAGCCCACCCCAGATCCGGAGATGTGATTGGCTAATTTCGGCAGTTGGAATTAGTCGGAAAGGCGGGTCCGTTTGCTGATTGGCTGTCGAAGAGACGTCAGTCTTTACGTTAAGTTTCGTGGCACTCTGAAGTAACGCACCAATAAAAATGAGCCACAAGAGTGAATCTGTCACTGTTTGAAGCAGTGTAAGAAATATGCAAAAATAATGATTCAAACAGAGGCGACTGTGACCAGACGTCCCCAATTTCTGGGGATCGTCCCCGGTCTAGACCACCTGTCCCCGTAAATAGTTTTATGAATGAGAAAATGTTGGGAAAAATGTTGCGTGTAATCTGTTATTACGGTAAAAAGAGCGCGTGAGAATGTTGCTCGCAGAAAGAGCTGTTACGGAAGCTGGCTGTGCTGCTGTTACCGTAAAGATGAGAAGCAGCGCGCACCACTTTTAAAACAGAGGAAGCAGAAATTCGTTGTTACAACCGGTCGAAGATGACTGGGAGCTGCCCTATTGTGGAAGCAGTATTAATCGATTTTTTTTTTCATCGGGCCGATCCTTGTGATAAATGTTTAGTTCGTGCCCAGGTTAAAATGCAGAGTTTTGATGTTCTGGCATGAGTAAAAGAGAATCGGATAAGATATAAAAGAATGATTGAAATATCCTTGCATCGTCAGCTGTCAATACACAAATATATCATCCTTTACCTGCAGGCTTTGACTTCTCCTTGTTTTTGACCCAATGTGAACAGAATGAGAATTTGTTGCACTTTTTTGAAGAGGTGTGGGAATGTCTCCACAAATAGCCACAGCCATAGGCTAAATGTTGAAAAAATGTATTTACTTTTCTGTTTGTTTGTTTTTTTTTACTGTTCATTATGTCAATCCTCCCTAAGGGGACGACTGAGCTAATTAGGCCCCACAAATTTGGAAATACTGTACAAAACAAAAGTTAAAGTTTCTTATTTTCAACATTGTCATATGACCTGGTCTAGCCACAATTACATCCATTACCTCATCGGTATTCGCCTTTCACAGGCACTGCTAACAGAACATGGTTCAATCAAACTGCAGATGACCAAAAACTTTAACAAGACATCTTTTCTATTCATTTATGAAACTTGATTAAATAAAACCATTTTTTTTTTCAAACTAAAGGATGCACAAACCCATTTGAAGCTGATGAGGTTAGACAAGAAAATACAGTCAGTTGACCACTACACAAAATGTGGAAATAACTTCTTCTTTTGCAGAAGCAAAAAAACTCAACAACTTCTTAACTTTAACTTTCCATTTAGATTAGGCTACATTGTGTTCTGTTTGAAGACCTTGCATATCTCATGTCAAACAGATTTTATTTATTTAGCTATTATTAAGCCAATAACAATGCAGTTTGTGATATTGAACTGCTCTTTGAAAAACCTTAAAGGTCAACTTGGTCATCTCTGTAATGAGAAAATTCCTTTGTTTTTTTTGTTTCCAACCCTTAACCTTTTATTTACATTGTTGTACAGAAAATGACTTGGGCAGATTTGCACCAGCAGGATCAGACAGAACAACCATACCACCAAAACCTGGAAGGGAAACCCTCAGCTGAGAAAGTATAAATTAGGCAGTCAAATGTTTGTCTAGTTAGAGCAGATGGAACTGTTTGGATTAATTTAATTGATGATGGGTGAGTCTGTTATACCTTAATAATACCTGCTGTTACTTATCAGAACTAATGTTTTCCCCAAGTAGTTTAATTAGGACAATTCTTCTGTCAGGATAAAAAGTCACCTTAATTATTTAAAGATTTGGGAATGAGAGAGAGAAAGCTTTAAGGTGTAAATAACAGATTATTAACAGACAGTAGTTGTTCTCCCCCACAAGGATCAATAAATGCTGCTTGTATGAAGATCTGCAATCTTCTCCTTGTTCAGTAAGAATAAAGCTTTTTTTTTTAAATTAAATCTGTTATTTCATGAATTGACAAGTGATTAATTGACCAAAATGATTTCTTCGAGTTGGTTTGTATACCTTTTTCTTAGAAAAATCTTTTAAAGACTCAGTTTTGTACTCAGGATATCTCTCGGTAACATTTGTTTAATGAACTAAGACATTAACATGTAAAAAAGGGCAAAACCTCAATACTTTTTCATAGCATTATATTCTACCTGGTATGGGGAAAACAGGCTGACAAGGGCCTAAAATGTTAGTAAAAAGATCTGCATTATTTTTTGGCTTTGCAAAATCTAAGTATGAATGGGAAAAGCTGTAGCATAATGTATAAGTAACCATATAAATAACACAACCATGAGTAAATTAAAAAGCATGCCTTTTTTATTTTCTAACACATTGAGGTGGTTTTTTGGCTCTACACAGGTAGGCCCATCTTACATGCCACTTTATTCAGGAGAGAGACGCTGCACAAGGCACTTCAATTTCTGCCTCTCTCTCAAACCAGAGGAATCACAGAAGACATCGTTCCACTGAGGCTACTATACACCGAGGCAAACATGAACCACACGAGCCTGTACAGCTTTACGTTTGGTACATTCAGACTTTAAATAGAATCATATATTCATACACACACATCCCACATTGGTAAAAATCATACTAGCAAGATAATTGTACAGATCAGCTTAAATTGAGCCGAATGCAGAATTTTCTAAAAGAAAAAAAAAAGGACATGCACTGATCCAAGAGGACAACCATAGGAACAGAGCAACAATGGAAATGAGGTTTAAATCAGCCACATCCTGGGATCATACCAGACTGTGTGCGGGACAAAATAAACCCCTTCCTCAGAGATTATGCATTATTTAAGCCACTGTCTGTCACTTTCCCCTAAAGTAATGCCTGCAATGTGAAAGGTAACTTAGAAATCAGTCAAGTACAGTTTCCACTGGCGTCTAATATCAAATTACAGAACCTTAGGTTTAAGTAGTGCATTATGAGTTTGTTGAAATATCCCCGGGGAGATAAAAAAAAGTGTGAAAGAAGAAAAACAGTGCAGCACGTTAAGTGGAAATGCTTCTGTACAATTGCGGTGAGGGTGTGACAGGACAGCACCAGGGCAAATACAGCACAGAAAAAAAAAATGCAGCCTTCAGCTCCTGCGAGACTTTGAGTGCTGGATGAGCCACTGAAGTGTAATATCTGCAATAGAGAGAGAAACAGGTTTAGAAAAAGAAAAAGATTTAATGTTTCATAATGAAAATTTTAAATATTCATAAATAAACTTTATTTAAATGATCAAATTTTAGAGCCAGACAGTCCAAAGAGCTATAGATTGAAAAGGAGAGATTCACAACAGGATTTTGCATGGCTTTAAAAAAATTTTTCAAAACCTTAGAGCCACACCCTTTAAGACAATAGTGAACAACCATATATGTAGGACTTGATCTGGTTGCAAAGCTATGCACAACTCTTATTCTTAGTTGTACAAGCATAAAAGTTCAGTGCACATAAATCCTTAAAGTTCCCTTTTTTATTTTTACCTATATTATGCAAAAGTAAACTTTTTAAATTTATTTTCTAAATTATATAATGCTCTCTTTATCAATATTATGCTTTAAGTGGTATTTAGCTTGATACATGCAGGTCTGAGTAATCCTGGTGAATTCTGCTCCATCACTGCCCTGGAAAATGAGTGTCCAGCATTGTTTTATGAAGAGCAGCGATCATCCACCCTCTCCAGGAAGCATTTACCCTGAATGCCCGCTGCCCTAAGTGGTGATATAAGGTGGAGCTCCATCATTTCTGCTCATAGTTGAGATGAAGAGGCTCTTTTAACACCTAATCAGCCCAGCAAGAGGAGCTGTTTCCATTTTAGATAATGTCTTAGTCTGGAAAGAGTGTTTTTCAGCTGACCTTGTTCAAAGTTCCAAAAAGGGATCTTAAACGGCAAGCAATATTTCATATATACCTACAGTTAACTTTTGAGGGCTTCAAGAAAGCATTATATAGACTTAAGCATCCGAAGCATTAGTCCTCAGGTACTAAATGAAAAATAGTGGGTGCCAAAAGTGCTTTAATGCACTAAAACATAAAATTGAAACATCGCCCCATAAATATAAAATAGTATAACAAAAAACAAAGTACAAGTGTTTACATGGCTTCAAACTGAACAAACTACATATCTTATGGTTCAGTGTCTCTCCATGGGAGTCAAATGGGAGCAGATGGTCAACTATTGTAGTTTGCTCTTTATGACCTTTGGCCGTAGCTAAACCATCTAGTCACACTTTTTTTTTTTTTTTAGCATCAAAATCTTCTGGACTTGGTCTATTTTAGACAATTCCTATCAGATCTTCCATTGGGTCTGAATAAGGGTCGCTCTACCAGCACAAACTGCAAAGTGTTTCAAAAACTTATGTGATTAAGGAAGTTGTTTTTCTGGTTTTGCTTTCAAAACCTCAGTTAATACAAACTAGATTCATTACAAAGGTACCTTTAGTTAATAAATTTAAATTATGAACATTTAACATGTAGTACTAAACACCACAGCAAAATCTTTGTTATTGTAAATTTTCAATAAAACTGATAAAAAGTCAATAAAGTAGAATGGAATTGAAGTGTTTGAAGGAAAGAGAAAATATAATTTTGTCAGAGGATCAAGTTACTAGCACTAAAAAAAAAACAGACCAAACTAATGCTACTATTGCATTTATCTTTAAATGGAAAAATATAATACGGTATAGCGAAACAGCAATATCCAGATTTAGGATGGAATTAACATTTAAGACTTATACGTAACAAACTGAACTGGCTTGAAATAAGGATTTTTAACTTTCAGTTATTGATTACCTGCAGACACCAATATTTCAGCTTTAACTATGTGTTAGAATGTTAGAAAACAAACTACAGTAAAGGCTGGTTACATATAAGCACCATGTATCATCGGATTAAATGGAATGGCATGAAAAATAAATTGCAACTTGCCAATGTTGTCTTTCTCTTTGCAGGAAATGGAGTAGCAACATATCTCCCTGTCCTGAATAGCTGCTAGATTCCTGCAAGCAGAAGCAAGGGTGTGAACAAACATGACAACCATGTATCCAAACCAGTTCTCTTCCTTATTCATCTGCTATCTGGGAAATCAATGCGTGCAGTATGACTCTTCTGACGCTAGGGGGAGCCAGCAATACACAAACAATACCAGCTGAATTTCAAATAATTACTACAAGCTAAAAAGTTACAAATGATAAAGGACAACAAAGTAACTTTAAAAATATTTAAGTAATCATATTTTAAAAAGCATGTTTCTGAATTTAACTGCTTTTATACATCTGTTATGAAGCCATCTGTATCAGTTTAAGGATTATGTACATCCTTTTTAGCATCACTCATACTCACATCTTCTCAATGAGTTGCTTTTCATCTAACGCGTTGGGGAGATCCCTTTTGTTGCCTAGTACCAAAACCTAAACATTAAAAAGAGTTAAGAAAATCTGCATTCCTGTAGCAGAATGAAACTGCAAGGAGTAAAGTAAAGAAAGCCACAACGTTTTCCGTGACTGGTACTGAAATTATACAGATCAGCACAACTAGCTGCAGGGAAACACTTACAGGAATTCCTTGCAACTGAGGTTTGTCTAACAAGTGATGAAGCTCATTCCGGGAGGCCTCCACCTTTTCTCGATCTGCGGCATCAACCATGTACCTTCAAATATGCAGGAGCGAAAAGAACGCTTTAGTCATAATTGGCAAAGAGGTGACACGTTTCCTGTCCCTTAGGCTGTCCCTTATTTAAATAAAAACGCAGTGCTTTGGATACTCACACAATTGCGTTAACTCCCCGACAGTACCTCTCCCACATGCTCCTGAACCTGGGCTGCCCTCCTATGTCCCAGATCTAAAAAACAAACAATTTGCCATTAGACATTTCTGTTTTTTCCCCAAGTTTCTTCTCCATGATGAACTAAGAACAGCAGAGAAAATAAAGCAGCACCTTGATAGTGACATTTCCTTTGGTGACCTTCCTCATGTTGAAGCCGACTGTAGGAATCATGTCTTCACTGAAATGACCAGACTGGGAAGACACAAAGGTGAAACTCATTCAATACAGCTCTTTTTGTATGCCCGCTGCACATATTTACAAGTCTGTATTGAATCTGCTTTAATGTTTGGGGTAAAATATCAAAGGAAACAACGAAAACAAAAAAAAGAGCTTTAAATTTAATGAAGAAATATAAAAAAAAATAAAGTTATGAAAATTTAGTCAGAAACTAGACAGATGCATCTTAACAAATCTGGAGATAACTGGAAATCTTCAGTATATTGTTGAGTATATCTTTCATTATTAAAACTTAAAGATTTATAATACGGAAATGTACATCACATGCACTCAGTACTTGGTCTGAGTTCTCCTCAGGAATTACAGCAGCTCATGTTTTTTTTGCTTTTTTTGCAACAGCCTTCAGTTAATCCACATAGCTAGTTCTGTTGTATTTCATGTTCCTTTTGACAATAATCACAGATCATCTTTGGATTTAGTGTTTTAAATTAATATCAACATTGGTCATCTTGGTCAAACCTCTGAAGCTCCAACTCCAGCCGAGTTCAGACGCTGTCAAGCTACTGAATGAGTTTCAACCATATTTAGAGAAGCAGAATTCCCTTTTGCTTCAGCATCTTTTTCATCTTCATTTCATCTTTCCCTTTGTATGGATATAACACTCTGGTCAGAAATAAACTTCTGTTTATCACTCTCCTGTTGAATTGTATGAATGGCCATGTGTTGGAAAAATGTTCAGACTCCATAATTTTCTAAGACACTGAATTGTGGGTTCAATTAACCGTACGCTTCCCGTGTACTAGAAAGAAACCCTTGAAATACAGCGATGTGGATCTGAAAGATTTGAAAAGAGGAATGCTGAAAAAGAAAAAAATAGTGTCAAATAATTGAGCAAGTTACAGATCTAAAAGATGACACCTCACAAAAGGTGCAAACTAGTTTGGCTAGCACCATTAAAATAAGCAGTGAGCTATAGGCAGTAGGCGAAAAACCCTAAAAGGAAAGATGAACTTCTAAGATGGAGGTAATAATGATATTGAAATGAAAAATATTATTTGTACACTTTACATAATTTTAAAGTTATGAAGGAGTACTGGGGTCTTACTAAAAGATATACTTTTTTTTTTTTTTTTTTAAATCATAATTTTACGAGAACAGAAGTCTACAAGTTCTAACATTACAGGATTGAAGTCTTGGCATTTTGAGAAATCATAATGTAACCACTATCTTTATAAAAAGGAACCAACCACTGTGCTAAACATTTTTTTTATAATTTGATCTTCATATGCATTAAAGCTACGGCTACAACTATTTTGTTAATCAACGAATCTGTTGATTCTTTATCGATTAATAATCGGATGGCAAAAGGTTCCTTTTAAGAAGATTTCAAACATAAGTTAAATCAGGTGAAGCCAAAACCACATGAGGACTTTTTAGATAAGAGCATATTAATGGATAAAAAGGTTTCTCATCTTGAATACAAAATGTTTAAATGAATTTTTATATTGGTCTAACTGTTGCTTTGAGTGGGTTGTTCTTTCAGTTAAAGCATATTTTTGAGTCTCTATGTTGGCTGATTATTATTTCCATAGTCGATTAATCCAATTTACTGTCCCAGCCCTTATTAAAGCACACGCACACAGAACGCTTGCAGCCACCGCTGGCTGATTTTGCTCACATAAATCTCTTTGCTTCTTGAATAAAGCTTTAAGTTTGCAAAGAAGTTTACAGGCATTTTAATTATGGTCATTAAAAGTATCGATATTAGGGCTGCAACTAATGGCTATTTTGCACATAGACTAACTTGTTGATTATTTTTTTGATTAATCGATTAATAATTAGATGACAAAAGGTTCCTTAAAGAAGAATTTTTATTAAACTAAACCAGGTGAAACAAAAACGTTTCTGCTTGAGGATTTCTGGTTAGAGCATATTGACAGGAAACAGATAATTTTTTTATGTTTATTTTTTTTACAATTTTGGTACAATTGTTGCTCAAAGTGGGTCGCTCTGTCAGCTAAAGGTATGTTTTAGAGTCTCTAAAATCCGGTTAACGGTTAATCGATTACTATTTTAGTTGACGATTATTTCAATAATTGATTAATCCCGATTAACCATTTCAGCCCTAATTGATACTCAGTCATGTATTTGGATACAATACTAATTTGGTATGGTATTGAGGCTAAAGACGAGTGTTTTTCACATAATTGTGCTTTACTTATTTTTTTCTTTCTGGGTTGGTTTTTTTTGGACATTTATTTCACTAGCATCTGATTCTGTTGAGAAGGCAAGTTTCATGGGGAGATTTAAAAAAAAGTATAAAATTCCACAAAAGAATATAATTATCAAATTTAAATATATAATATCATTTATAGGGATGCATTAGCTCACGTTGACATTTTAAGGCAACACAAAAAAAGACCAAATAAAAACAGCTTAGAGGCATTTATAACAAAATAAAAACTTTACAAACTTAAAAACGGTTCTGTGCCAATGATGACCAGAATGTTTATCATGATACCATCTTAAAATAATCAAAATCAAGAGCAGCTGAGGGTCACTATTTGTTTTTAAAATCAAACAAACATTTCTACAGAGTTAAAAAGAGGAAATCCTAAGAAGAGATAAAATGCTGTAGGAAGTTATGAAACTTGAGACCTACTGCAATCTGCCTCAACACATCCTGTTGGAAAACAAATGATATGCATGAGAACAGAAAGTTGTTCCCCCTGAATTTCAATGTGTATTTACTGAAATCTTAAACAGAGATGATTGAGACTTTATTGGTTCAAACTTTTAAAAATCCTTAAGAATTGATTTTCTCTGTAAACCAAAATATGCACAATACTATTTCACTCCAAGTTCACGACACATGACTCGCTGAAATCACCTGATGGGACTAAGTGGAAATGAGTGCAGAAGTCTTATGACTGGGAGGAGGAGGAACCACTGCTGCCACAGCCATTGATGAATTCAAAACTATATGAAACAGGCTGCGTGGGCTGCTCTTTTTAAATGTAAAAGGAGGGAGCAGACAAATTGAAGCCCCTTAAACAAACATTTCCATCTGGAAATCTGCAAAGTACAAGACAAACTGGGAGTTTGTTGATTTGTAAATTTTGGCATCAACTTATGCTTCCTAAGATACTAGAGACAATTGCAGCTTAAGGCAGCAAACACATATATAGTTGTTTTTTTTTAGTCAAACATGCATTTTTGTTGCTGTGTTAGGCAGATATGCAAAAGTTTGACAGCTTGCAAGGATTTAAGACAAACCTTTATCCTACTACAACCACAAAAGATACAATCGTTTGTATAAAATGTACATAAGCTCACATTAGTATGTTGCTTCTGACAGTAAAGCTAATCATGCTCATTAGGGATGGGACGATTTATGAAAACCGTCAGAACCGTTCGGTTCAACTGTCTCGGTTCGGTTCGCGTGTGTTTCGTTCGGTTCATGCGCTGCTCCTTTTTCTCATAGGCGAAGCGTTTACACTCCAGAGCAGACGGTGGCGGTACTGCGACCAAAGCCAACTACCAGTAGTAAACAAGAAAAAGCAAAGCAGCTTAGCCGGGTGTAGCAGGGGAAAAAATCAGTTGTGGTGGAGAATTGTTGTTGGAATGGCGAGTGGGAAAGAACAGGAGTTGGAAGACGCTCCAGCAGCACTTTATAGGTCTGCTGTATGGGACCACTTTGCATTTAGAGTGACCTACGATGGCGGCGGAAAGAAAGTTGTGGATAAAAGTGCAACAGTGTGCGAGCATTGTGCAACACGTTTTGTTTACGTTAACAGCAACATGACCAACATGTCATGCTAACCCCGAAATCCCACATACTCCGTCAGCAACCCCCGCTCCGCCCCGCTGCGCTCCAGACCGGCTGCTCAAAGCAAAGCCTGCAGCCTCCACTGTGGCTCCGTCCGCTCCCCTCTGAGTCCCTTGGAGATGGTAGAGAGCATGTAACCTGACAACAGCCAGATGCATGTGGCGGAGCGAGACATGCATCTGGCTGTTGTCAGGTTAGAGAGCATGCGCGAGATGATTAAATTCAAAGCAGCAAAACATACGGAAATGATCCAGGGTTTCCGCGGATCATTTAAAATAATTACAATCCATTTTTGGGGGGGGGGGATTTTTTCATTAATTCCATACATTTTTATGGGATTTCGGTGTAACAATCAACATGTATCGAACCGAACCGAAAACCGTGACCAGAAACCGTGAATCGAACCGAACCGTGGATTTTGTGAACCGTTCCACCCCTGATGCTCATGCTAGCTGCTATTCTAGATTGACATTTTTGTTGTTTTTTTTTTTTAAGATTTGTACATTTGAGCTTAAAGGTTACATCTGGATAGAAATGTGCTCTAGTTTTACCTGCTCTGTTGCACATTTTGTTTTTTTACCGTTATAAAATTGTGATTGTGATCAGGGCTAAAGGATAACAGCAAAATATGACAATACACCTTTTTTATACTAAGGTAACTACCAATTGCAATTAACACATGCTTTCCGAACGTCTCTCTTTTTCCATCAGCACACTGAGCAATCTCTCACACTGGGCAATAGGATCTTGATCACTAATTAGGATCTTGACCACCAAGATATAAAGCAGGTGTGGGCATAAAGGGGAGCTGAGGTCGATCAGTGGGATCAATGTACTGTATTTTGAAAGAATATATATTTTTAATACAGTATGATAGTGATGCATCCACTTTGTTTATATCCCCCTGAACTTTAGGTTGCACCGGAGTAATGAAATGAACAGATCTGTCACAGGGCAAGCACAGAGACAGCAATCTATGAGCGCATTTGTTAATTAATTTAACATGCATGTTTTGTTTTTTTAAAGTGTGGAAAGAATCTGGTGAACAAAACAGCGAGGCCCTGACCAGGATTTTTATACAACACTTTAGGAAAGCAGAAAGCTAGTGTGTAGCCAACTAGACTGACTAGATTTACGTTTCTTAACCTGAGCTCATCACTAAAAGCTTTAACTACTACAAGGACTTTTTTTAAACAAACAAATAGATCAACTGAAATGTAGGGGTAAAAGGTATCTGCACCTAAAAGGACGAGTTAATATAGAAACTTCTTAAAAGGTCACTATAGAGGAGGCTATTAAACTTAAGTGATCCTAAACAAGGGACAGCTACCTTTGGGTACTTAGCTGGTATTTTACTGACCTCTGAAATCAGATTACCGGCCAGGAAATGAAACCAACTGTACTCCAAATCCAATTTTCAAAACCAATGGGATTTGTTATTTGATATGATCAGTAACCAGGGACATTGTTATTGGCAACACAACCTTATAACTAGAGGTGAACAATAAATCTGGACCAACATCTGTATTGGCCGTTGTTGATCATTTCAATGTTTATTTCTAATTTGTTGAAGCCTGTGTTTGCCTCTCCAGGGGTTAATGGCCGTGTGTTTTTTGTTTTTTTTTCCTTTGGACACATTACAGGGATGGTGATGCAGAGCAGGACTGTTGAGTGTTAGGCTAAAGAAGAGAAGCATGGTCAGCGTGGTGATTAATCTTTTTTCAAGGTGAGGGAATGGCAAAGAAATGTTCACATTATTGCCATAAAAGCAAAAGTAATATATCAATACAGCCTAAAATTGTCATGTCTGTGCATTCCTAAAAAATATGTATATCTCCAAATAACTGAACTGATCAATTTACAATTCAAATTCACTGTTAATTTGCTAAAAATTAGCAGTGTTTTTACTTAAATTATCAACAAGTGTAATTTGCAAGGCAAGGTCAGAGTTGATGAGCAATCTAATTTTTCCAATTGGAAAGTCATTTTTTCCCCTTTAAATCAGAACTTGGAAAGGAGCATAGGGCGGAAACAATTAATCAGATTAATCGCGATTAATGGATTATTAAAATAATCGTCAACCAATTTAGTAATCGAGTATAGAGACTCTAAAAATATGCTTTTAGCTGACAGAGACACAGAATAAGAGCAGTAATTATACCAAAACAAAACAAAATTTAAAATTTAAAAAAAACATTACGCATTTAAGATTTAAAAAAATTAATCTGTCAATATGAGCCATCCAGAAGTGGAAAAGTTTTAGTTTCACCTGGTTTTATTTCGTAAAAAATCTTATTGAATGAACCTTTGCATTCTGATCAATTAATCGCAAACAATATTGACAGATTCATTAATTAGTCAAATAATAGTTAGTTGCAGCCCCAAACTAGCAGAAATGCAACTCAATACTTCAAATTTATTTTGTTATTTCAGTCTAGAAGGTACTTGTGGTAAAAGGTTAGAGAATGCAAGGATTAGACAATAACAATTGCCACAAAAACAGAAGCCAGTATTTGAGAAATCACTGCAAGAGTTGCACAAGACATGGTTTCTTCCACAAAGACAACTGAGAACTGGAACATAAATAGATTAAAATCTTTTTACATCCAGATTTGTTTTGGTTCTGTCAAAATTGACAGAGGTGACTAATTGATGACCAAATCATGACTGTTCATCCTTTCAATCGACATTTATTTTAATTTGCTCTATTTTGGTGAAATGCTATCCTCGTGTTCCTACTGACTTGTTCCAAAAGTAACACCTACTCCTCAGATCAGTACAGGCTGTGAAATCCATCCAGCTTTCACTTCTTGCAAGCATGCTTTTGTAAACTTCCTGGTGGTTAAACTGAAAAGAAAAAGACAAATAAACATATTTGCAAATTTCCCTAAATCGAAGGTGACAAACACAAGTGACTGTGTTGTTACACTGGGAGGAGGGTTTAGCATCTACAGTCATAACACTAGCAAACTGGTTAGCTGACGTGTTGGCACAACTACTCCAGTGTGATTTAACCGCAGGTGTTTTTGTAGATTCCGCTCTACCAACGGAAGGAAGCCAGAAAACATCGAGTTTAAGGTAGTGTTTTGATTTCTAATATATCATTAATAACGCTAAACGTGTTAGCATTAACCTAGCAAGAGCAGCTAGCCGCTGTGAAGACTTACAGCGATCACGTTTACAAATGTTGTTTTTCCAGAGTACTGCAGGCCGACCAGGGTCAGCTCCATCTCTTCTTTCCAAAATAGAGACCTGAACCAGTCCAAAAGACGATTTATTAGCGCCAGCATCTTGATGCTTTCCACAGATGGTTTTCTTTCTCTCTCCCTGTCAGATGTTGCGTTTTTCCAGTAACTGCAGCAGGAAGGGAAGTTGGAAACAGGCAGTGGTCATATGACCGGTTAGCCAACACTGCTCAGCAGCGCTCCTGTTTGTAGATGCTGGAACTACATTCCATTTCACTTGCTGATCTTTCATGAATTTTTTTATCTCAAAATATTTATTTACACTCAAGCGCGTCTAAATATTACGGAAAAGGACCAAAAAAAACCCAACAACAACTGATTTCACATTTTATTTCAGTGTAATATGACCAAAAAGTCAGAGTTCTGACTTTAATCTCAGAATTCTGACTTAAATCTCAGAATTATGATTTTTTTCTTGGAATTCTGACTTTAATCTCAGAATTATGTATTTATTTTCTCAGAATTCTGACTTTAATCTCAGAATTATGATTTTTTTTTTCTCAGAATTATGATTTTAAGCTCAGAATTATGACTTTTTCTCAGAATTCTGACTTTAATATCAGAATTATAACTTTTTTCTTGGAATTCTGACTTTGATCTCAAAGTTCTGACTTTTTTTTCTCGGAATTCTGACTTTAATCTCAGAATTATGACTTTTTTCTCAGAATTATGATTTTTTTCTTGGAATTCTGACTTTAATCTAAGAATTATGTATTTATTTTCTCAGAATTCTGACTTTAATCTCAGAATTATGATTTTTTTCTTGGAATTCTGACTTTAATCTCAGAATTATGTATTTATTTTCTCTGAATTCTGACTTTAATCTCAGAATTATGATTTTTTTTTTTTCCTCAGAATTATGATTTTAATCTCAGAATTCTGACTTTTTCTCAGAATTCTGACTTTAATATCAGAATTATAACTTTTTTCTTGGAATTCTGACTTTGATCTCAAAGTTCTGACTTTTTTTCTCGGAATTCTGACTTTAATCTCAGAATTATGTATTTATTTTCTCAGAATTATGATTTTAATCTCAGAAATATTATTTTTTTTCTTGGAATTCTGACTTTATTCTCAGAATTATGTATTTATTTTCTCAGAATTCTGACTTTAATCTCAGAATTATGACTTTTTTCTCAGAATTCTGACTTAAATCTCAGAATTATGATTTTTTTCTTGGAATTCTGACTTTAATCTCAGAATTGTGTATTTATTTTCTCAGAATTCTGACTTTAATCTCAGAATTATGACTTTTTTCTCAGAATTCTGACTTAAATCTCAGAATTATGATTTTTTTCTTGGAATTCTGACTTTAATCTCAAAATTATGTATTTATTTTCTCAGAATTCTGACTTTAATCTCAGAATTATGATTTTTTTCCCCTCAGAATTATGACTTTTTCTCAGAATTCTGACTTTAATATCAGAATTATAAATTTTTTCTTGGAACTCTGACTTTGATCTGAAGTTCTTATTTTTTCTCTCAGAATTCTGACTTTTTTTCTTAGAATTCTGACTTAAATCTCAGAATTATGACTTTTTTCTCGGAATTCTGACTTTAATCTCAGAATTCTGACTTAAATCTCAGAATTATGTATTTATTTTCTCAGAATTCTGACTTTAATCTCAGAATTATGACTTTTTTCTCGGAATTCTGATTTTAATCTCAGAATTCTGACTTTAATCTCAGAATTCTGACTTTTTTCTGAAAATTCTGACTTAAATCTCAGAATTATGACTTTTTTCTCGGAATTCTGGCTTTAATCTCAGAATTATGACCTTTTTCTCAGAATTCTGACTTTAATCTTAGAATTCTGACTTTTTTTCTCAGAATTCTGACTTAAATCTCAGAATTATGATTTTTTTTCTTGGAATTCTGACTTTAATCTCAGAATTATGTATTTATTTTCTCAGAATTCTGACTTTAATCTCAGAATTATGACTTTTTTCTGAAAATTCTGACTTAAATCTCAGAATTATGACTTTTTTCTCGGAATTATGACTTTAATCTCAGAATTATGACTTTTTTCTCAGAATTCTGACTTAAATCTCAGAATTGTGATTTTTTTCCTTGGAATTCTGACTTTAATCTCAGAATTATGTATTTATTTTCTCAGAATTCTGACTTTAATCTCAGAATTATGATTTTTTTCTTGGAATTCTGACTTTAATCTCAGAATTATGTATTTATTTTCTCAGAATTCTGACTTTAATCTCAGAATTATGACTTTTTTTCTCAGAATTATGACTTAAATCTCAGAATTATGATTTTTTTCTTGGAATTCTGACTTTAATCTCAGAATTATGAATTTATTTTCTCAGAATTCTGACTTTAATCTCAGAATTATGACTTTTTTCTCAGAATTCTGACTTAAATCTCAGAATTATGATTTTTTTCTTGGAATTCTGACTTTAATCTCAGAATTATGTATTCATTTTCTCAGAATTCTGACTTTAATCTCAGAATTATGATTTTTTTTCTCAGAATTCTGATTTTAATCTCAGAATTATGACTTTTTCTCAGAATTCTGACTTTAATATCAGAATTATAAATTTTTTCTTGGAACTCTGACTTTGATCTGAAGTTCTTATTTTTTCTCTCAGAATTCTGACTTTTTTTCTTAGAATTCTGACTTAAATCTCAGAATTATGACTTTTTTCTCGGAATTCTGACTTTAATCTCAGAATTCTGACTTAAATCTCAGAATTATGTATTTATTTTCTCAGAATTCTGACTTTAATCTCAGAATTATGACTTTTTTCTCGGAATTCTGATTTTAATCTCAGAATTCTGACTTTAATCTCAGAATTCTGACTTTTTTCTGAAAATTCTGACTTAAATCTCAGAATTATGACTTTTTTCTCGGAATTCTGGCTTTAATCTCAGAATTATGACCTTTTTCTCAGAATTCTGACTTTAATCTTAGAATTCTGACTTTTTTTCTCAGAATTCTGACTTAAATCTCAGAATTATGATTTTTTTCCTTGGAATTCTGACTTTAATCTCAGAATTATGTATTTATTTTCTCAGAATTCTGACTTTAATCTCAGAATTATGACTTTTTTCTGAAAATTCTGACTTAAATCTCAGAATTATGACTTTTTTCTCGGAATTATGACTTTAATCTCAGAATTATGACTTTTTTCTCAGAATTCTGACTTAAATCTCAGAATTGTGATTTTTTTTCTTGGAATTCTGACTTTAATCTCAGAATTATATATTTATTTTCTCAGAATTCTGACTTTAATCTCAGAATTATGATTTTTTTTTTTCAGAATTATGATTTTAATCTCAGAATTATTACTTTTTTTTTCAGAATTCTGACTTTAATATCAGAATTATAACTTTTTTCTCGGAATTCTGACTTTGATCTCAGAGCTCTGACTTTTTTTCTCAGAATTCTGACTCTCCTCTCAGAATTCTGACTGTTTTCTGACAGCTAACAAACATGTAAGCATCAATCCGTAGCCATGTCCGTTTTAGAGATTAGCTCCCTTGTTTTAATCACCTTCTGCCTTTCCATCAATGAAATAACATCACCGGGGACCCCCCTGGCACGTAAAAAGTTGCCTAATTGCATAATTTCCCACCATTGTGTTACTGGCCCTCTCAAACGACTAAAATCTTTGTCAGTGAAGCTGCGTGCTCCCACATCTCTTCCTTCATAGTGCCCATCTACATTAAAATCCCCCCCCAAAAAAGATTAAAGTCAGAATTCTGACTTTTTTCCCATATTAAAGTGAAATAAAATTTAAAAATCAGTCAACTTTTTTTTATTTTTTCAGTGTCCCTGTACTCTTTGGTAAAATACATTTCAGTTTTAGTGATTTTTTTGTTTTGTTTTAGGTTGTGACCTACAGATTGGAGGACAGGGCATTTTCGTCCTGCAGAGGCTGAGGTTCCTGAGCAAGAACTCAAAAATGCAATGATCTCGCAATGGAGAAATTGATCTCTTTGCATTTCATCTGCACAGGACATGTCATATCAACACCCCACCTTCAAACAGTTTTCCACTGAAGGCCAGATGAGGTTTATTTATAGTCTTAAAAACAAAACAAAATATCAGTACAATGGTGAAACTTAGACTTTTTTTATTGCTATCATAATCTAATAATGTGTAAATATTCCCTTTTTAAAGAAACAATAATATTTATTAATTCAATCACTTTTTTTAGTTAAATACAAATTACAATCGAAGCTTGTACTGGAATACCAAATGCATGAATATTCATGGTGACAAATAAAATATGCCAGTGTTTGCTTGGATAATTTTAAGAGTTGCAGAAAAAAAACTCATTACAAACGGCAAAATAAATGAAATAATCATTTTCTTTTAAAAACACCAAAGTTTTTTTGTACCAAAAAAAAAACAACATAGAAAAGTTAATCCTTTTTCAACTGATCTGATACTAAATATATACATTTTAAAGTATGCTGATTCTTACAGTGATAAATTAACCTTTATTTTAAACTCACAGTACTCACAGTAAGAAAATCTGAACAAAACACAAAATTACTGAAGATATTGTCTTATTTTACCCCATTTAGAATAATAGATCTGATAATTCTACTGATTGGCAACATGGCGATATAATGGCATAATATACATTATAATATACATTGTATACAACCTCTTGTGATATAACGAGCATAGCCACTGCTGTTTTTCTTCCATGGCTCTTTTCACGCAACACATTTTCTATATCAGTGTAAACAAAAATGGTGTAACAAACATGTAATTATTTAAATAAGTTATTTTAATTTATACAATAAATAACTTGACCTGAAAAGGTAACTAAAACGTTCTCTTTTTGTTTCTCAATAATAAAAAAAAACAGTTCTGTATATCCTAATTTCAGTTTTACACTTTAACTGACCTCTTTTTTGTAGGCCTGATCTAAATCTTTCTTGGATCAACAGAAAATATGCATTTGACTTTTAAATACATATAAAATACAAATACTCCCTCTCTTGAGCAACAGGTTTTGTCATATAATACATTAATCAAGAGATTGATCTGGTTCAGAAGCCACACAAATGGCCTGACTAAGTCTTGTAAAAACTTGTTGTTTAAATTATTTCTAATAAACAATTAGCTAAAGCCTCTTCCAATTAGGTCATTTTGAGCCTAAGATAGATGTTAAAGCACATTTGATTTTTAATCCATCATCCTTAGATGGACAGAAAACTTCCAACTTAGCAAGACATCATCCACTATCTAAACTTAAACTCATCCTTTTTGTTCCAAATGTGACATTTTATGTTTGTCTTGTATATATTGCTCGTAAAACAGATGGTTTGTGGTTTGAACCTGACAAAATCAAAAATCTTCATTTTGGTTTGCAGAATGACACATAAATATCCCAGTGTTGGTTATGGCTTATCAGACTGATGAAAGACTGGAAGTTTTTTCCAAATCCAGCTGACTTCCATTGGGGGAATCCTTGAACTCTTCCTGGATGATGAGATGGAGCCCGCTCTCCTCCTTTGAGAGGTTGAGGTCACCAGTTTTAGGGAAAACTGCCTGGATGGAAATCTTATCTAAAGCAAAGACAACATTTTTGTCAGAGAAAAGCAAAAGCTTTTTAATAAAATTAGCAGACATTAATATAAACACAAAGCCATCTCTAGCATAAGTTGGTGCACTTATCCTGCTACCTCCTCTGCCAACCCTAAACCAATGACAATGCAGGGGCCCAAAAGCATTCTTGGGCAGAAGAAAATGCAGGGCCGTGACCAGCAAAGCATGATAAATTGTCTCCCAATTCTTAGTAGCAAGACAGGGGCACCAACTCTCAATTAACAGCACATCTATAAAATATATCAGTGTGACTGACATATGATACTTTTAAACTCCCTTGCTGCAAATTGGAACTATCTGTTTGGTTGTATCCATCAACCTATGATGGATACACCCCTCTGGGGTTCTCTGCCAGGCAGGAACCTCTTAAGCAGGGGTGTCAAACCGTTCGAGAAAGGCCGGGGTGGCTGCAGGTTTTCTTTCCAACCAAGAAATTGCACACCAGACTCCATTAATTTCATTAAGTCATCATGTTCAGATTGCACTCAGTTGATGAGATGACTGGAGTCTGGCATGCGATTGCCTAGTTGGAAAGAAAACCTTTTGTATTGTGTATATATTAGAGCTACCCTAAGGAAACCTGAAAGCATCTCTTAAAGTTAAAGCTTCTCTTTCTCCACCCTGTAACATAATTATTTAGTCAGTCACACTGCAAGTGCTGCTTTCTCTTGCAATCATAAGTGATTCTACTATTTGCATGCCTAGAAATGTAAAAAAGTAATTTGTTTAAAAAAAATATGTATTACTAAGTTAAGTTGACATCTTAATCTTGTTTACTTTTAGCTCGGTTCCTCGATTTCTTCCACAGGATATTCAAGCAGGTGTAAGACACGAACACAAAGAGGGTGAGGGACAGCACAACAAAGCTGACAGCCATGGACCAGAACAGAAAGTCTCTGCTATCTCCTTGTGGCTCTGGGGATAAGTCAAACATTAGTTAGGTTCTCAGACTAAGATATTTTTTACACACTGGTGTTGGAGAAATGTGCAACAAATGACAGGCAACATATTGTTGAGGAAGCGTTGTCACATTTTCTTACCCGGTTTAGCACAAGTAGAGTCGTGAGTTTTGTTTCCTTGAATTATCTCAACAAGTCCCTTCTCGCTGCAACTGTAGATAAAAAATTATGTTCATCAATTATAAACGTCTTAAATCTTTCATTAATGCAGTTTTTCTCAGTTTTTTTTTCAATCCCTCAAAATTTTATTTAAAAGTGTTTTTCCTAAATGAAAGTGGATGTTGCAATAAAATGGGTGAAAAAACAGTGATAGGTATGGTATATACTATGTATATATATATATATATACACTCACCGGCCACTTTATTAGGTACACCTGTCCAACTGCTCGTTAACACTTAATTTCTAAGCAGCCAATCACATGGCGGCAACTCAGTGCATTTAGGCATGTAGACATGGTCAAGACAATCTCCTGCAGTTCAAACCGAGCATCAGTATGGGGGAGAAAGGTGATTTGAGTGACTTTGAACATGGCATGATTGTTGGTGCCAGAAGGGCTGGTCTGAGTATTTCAGAAACTGCTGATCTACTGGGATTTTCACGCACAACCATCTCTAGGGTTTACAGAGAATGGTCCGAAAAAGAAAAAAACATCCAGTGAGCGGCAGTTCTGTGGGCGGAAATGCCTCGTTGATGCCAGAGGTCAGAGGAGAATGGCCAGACTGGTTCGAGCTGATAGAAGGGCAACAGTGACTTAAATAACCACCCGTTACAACCAAGGTGGGCAGAAGAGCATCTCTGAACGCAAAGTACGTCGATCTTTGAGGCAGATGGGCTACAGCAGCAGAAGACCACACCGGGTGCCACTCCTTTCAGCTAAGAACAGGAAACTGAGGCTACAATTTCCACAAGCTCATCGAAATTGGACAATAGAAGATTGGAAAAACGTTGCCTGGTCTGATGAGTCTCGATTTCTGCTGCGACATTCGGATGGTAGGGTCAGAATTTGGCGTCTACAACATGAAAGCATGGATCCATCCTGCCTTGTATCAACAGTTCAGGCTGGTGGTGGTGGTGTCATGGTGTGGAAAATATTTTCTTGGCACTCTTTGGGCCCCTTGATACCAATTGAGAACCGTTGCAACGCCACAGCCTACCTGAGTATTGTTGCTGACCATGTCCATCCCTTTATGACCACAATGTACCCAACTTCTGATGGCTACTTTCAGCAGGATAATGCGCCATGTCATAAAGCTGGAATCATCTCAGACTGGTTTCTTGAACATGACAATGAGTTCACTGTACTCAAATGGCCTCCACAGTCACCAGATCTCAATCCAATAGAGCATCTTTGGGATGTGGTGGAACGGGAGATTCTCATCATGGATGTGCAGCCGACAAATCTGCGGCAACTGTGTGATGCCATCATGTCAATATGGACCAAACTCCCTGAGCAATGCTTCCAGCACCTTGTTGAATCTATGCCACGAAGAATTGAGGCAGTTCTAATGGCAAAAGGGAGTCCAACCCGTTACTAGCATGGGGTACCTAATAAAGTGGCCGGTGAGTGTACATATACATATATATGTATATGTATATACATATATATATATATATATATATATATATATATATATATATATATATATATATATATATATATATATATATATATATATATATATATATATATATATATATATATATATATATACACACATATCTATATGTATGTATATATATATATATATATATATATATATATATATATATATATATATATATATATATATATATATATACATATACGTCTGGAACAAAGTAGGTTGATGTAATAATACTTTGTTTCATTATTCATGCTATATACATTTTAAGTCACATTTTTCACTTTGTATGCTTACATTTCCTGTAGCTGATTTTATATTGCTTGGGGATTTAAAACTTTCCTGGAAATAAACTCTTGTATTTTCATAAAGTTGAAGTTTAACACAAAACATGCCAATTTAAAACACAACACAGCATCATGAGCAAACATTTTGGGGCTATTTCAAGTGATCTGATGTGATTCTAGTTAGGAAAAAAATTGAGCCCAACCTCAGCTTCAAGTTCAGTAACCTGATAGCAGTACACAAAAAAATGACTGTCAATGACTGTGCATTAGAATCCATCCATCCATCCATCCATCCATCCATCCATCCATCCATCCATCCATCCATCCATCCATCCATCCATCCATCCTCCTCCGCTTATCTGGGGTCGGGTCGCGGGAGTAGCAGCTTCAGTAGGGAGGCCCAGACATTCCTCTCCTTGGCCACTTGGGCCAGCTCCTCTGGGGGAATCCCAAGGCGTTCCCGGACCAGCCAAGAAACATAGTCCCTCCAGCGTGTCCTGGGTCTCCCTCTGGGTCTCCCTCCAGTGGGAAGTGCACAGAACACCTCACCAGGGAGGCGCCCATGAGGCATCCTACAGCTGGCCCCTCTCGACGTGGAGGGTCAGCAGCTCTACTCTGAGTCTTCCCAAGATTATTGAGCTCCTCATCTCTGAGGGAGAGCCCATATACACTATGGAGAAAACCCATTTTGGTCGCTTGTATCCAGGATCGCGTTCTTTCAGTCATGACCCAAAGCTCATAACCCTAGATGAGGGTAGGAACTTAGATCGACTGGTAATTCAAGAGCCTAGGCTCGGCTTCCTCTTCACCACAACGGACTACAACTATCTTTTCTCTATTCTTCCATCAATTCAGAATTTGTGGAGGGTGGTGGACAGAATATACCACCTGTTTCTTCTATCTGTAAAGCTCCACAAGAGTTATGATGGGCCTTTTTGGAAGAACCTCATCTCACTTTAAACGTCACAAAAACTTTTTTTATCCTCAACCTATTTGTTTCTTTCCTCTATCTTTTTAATCCTGTTAGTTAAGTCAAAATAATGAGGTCATAACAAAGAACTTAGATTTATACAGGGATAAAAACTCACACTGGTGGACTATACTGTTTACTATTAAACTGAATTCTATATGCATAGGTTAAACTGTGTCACTGGCACTTTTTGGTTCTGTTTAAGTTTCTTTTTTTGAGTTTTTAGTTATACTTTCAATCATGTCTTTCTGTGTTTTCTAGTTTATTGGTTTCATTTCCATTTTGAGTTATTCTAGTTATTTTGGATCGTATTTGTGTCAGTCTCTTTTTTCCTAGCTCCCTTATAGACTCCTCTGTCCAAACCTGCTCCCAATCTGCTGATTAGCCCGGTCTTCATTCAGTCTCCCATTTATATACCTAATATTCAGTCACTGTTTGTTGGTTCCTTGTTGTTGTTTTGTTGCTCCATTGTTTCCTGGCTCCTCATGTGTGTTTCTCCTGAATTTTGGCTTTCAGTATTTTTGATTGTTGCCTCAGTTCCCTGTGGAAACTTTTTTAATCTACAAACTCATCTCTGCCTCCTCATCTCTGCATTTGGGTCCTGTTGTTTCTTCTATTTTATATTAATATTCATATTTACTCACTATAAAAGTTTTCACTCAGTCTGTTCCTCTCTCAAGGCCACACATTTCTCTCCAGGTTGGTATTTGTAGACCAGACATTGCTTCTTCCCATAACAATCCAGATGCTTTCTCAAGGTTTACTGTTAACCAAAGTGTGTGTAATTTGTTATGACTCTGACTGCTTAAGTAACCCTGCCCAGATCAGAACAGAGCAGAATGCTATGCCATGAAGGCTTCATGATGACTGTTCTCTCTTTGCAAAGATATTAATAAATGTGCTGACTGAGTGAAATCCATCGATCTCCGTTTATTTAACTAGGATGAATAGTTGAATACTTTTTTCCCACGACAGGTCCTTAAAAAACCTCCACCCAACCTGAAATTCTGTATTTTCAAAATGTTGTGCAAATACAACATTCATACTACATTTGGCTACCAGCACAGTTAAAAGTGCCCCTAAGTAAGAATTTATTTAATTGAGGGTCCAGTTAATTTACAATGTACAAATTTCTTCTTAATGGAAATCAAACGATCGCAAAACCATTTTTTAGAAGAGGAAAGAAAACTTGCAAAGGAGAGCTTGGAACCCAGTCATTCATGAGGTTTTGGTTTTCATTTATTTATATGATTTACTTGCATTATAAAAGGGTCATTTCAGTTGGATATCACCAAAATTTTAACATAACTTGTTAATGCATCAAAACACAAAAGGGTTGCTTTATAAAAAAAGAGGCCAACTATAACTGCAGGATTAATTGAAAATCTGAAATTTTTGCCAGTAAGCAGATAAAGCCAATAAACAGCAGACGGAATCGGCTAAAGTAACATAAACCTAGTGAATCGATAAACACATCTACTAAATGTATTTCCATCTCATTTTGTGGCACGTGTTAGTTTAGTTTCAGGTTTGGGATTTGCAATAGTCATTGTGAATGCAAAAAAGTACATTGTACCAATTTGCTAAAGTCTATCATCTTGTAGTTTCCTAATATTTCATCTCGGTTCATTGGTTTATAGCTTTTCACTTTCGAACTGACAACTTTTCAGTTCAAAACGTTTTACCACAATAAAACTCCAATGTGGCTGAAAGTTTTACTTTTTTGAGAGGTTCATAAATATGCTAATCTCTCCTTCCCACCGTGGATGACATTGTGCAAACCATTGTTCCCATATCAAGCAGATACTTCAGTAAATCACAGATCAATTACAAATATTTAATAATATCAACTTGTTTGCAGGCAATTAGGGTACTATGCCTTAACAGAGCAATGTTAAGAATGCTAGAAGCCTTGTTGCTCTCATGCTGTCACATTTTAGGCCTAATATACCAGACAGTAAGGGTGTATACTGTGTACATAGGAACTGCAGCAGGCTAAGATTTCTCGCATTTGTTCTTAGACTAATCGTTCTGCCATTGTAGTGAGGACTTTGTGTTGACTACCATAGACCTCTATTGATTTTAAGTCATTTTCACACCTTTCTATGCCCTAACCCTAAAACTAAACCTAAACCTAACCATTACCAATGCATACCTCACCCTAACCCTAAACAATTGAGACCTTATCCCTAAACCTAACCATTAGAAAAATAGTATATTAGGACCAGCAAAATGTCCTCACTTTGCAACAACTAGTCCTCAATTTGGTCCTTAAATTAGAAAAATGGTCCTCACTCTGAAGGCTAGACAGGTACACCCACACAAACACACACACATACACACACAGCAAAGAATAATTTAGAGAAGCCAATTAACCTGAAAGTCATATTTTTGGACTGTGGGGGGAAGCCGGATTAAGCTAAGAGAGCCCACACATGCACGGGGAGAACATGCAAACTCCGCGCAGAGAGACCTGGGCCAGGAATCAAACCCTGAACCTTGCTGCAACGCAACGGTGCCACCCACTGTACCACCATGCAGCCCATTATGAAAATGATCTGATATTAAGTTATAAAAGAAAATATGAACCAGGAAAAAATGGGTCTTACTTTGTCCATGGCTTGCAGGTGCCCTCCTTTTCATCAAAATGATGATTTCCAGGGCATTTTTTCAGTTCTATGATCATTAGATTAGATTAGATTAGATTAGATTAGATTAGATTAGATTAGATTAGATTAGACAGACAGACAGAATATCTTAATGAAAATAGCTATAGTCTCTTACTGAAAGCAAAAATAAATAGAAAATTAAATAATCCAGGTCCCTACAACTCTCATCGACATATCGAAATATGTCCATTCTCACCTTCATTCTGTGCATTATTCACTTCACTGATGTTGCTTTTCTTACAACTTGAGCAGCTGTGGTCAGAGCACAGGAAGCCAGGTCGGCATGTACACTTTCCTTTTGTGGTTTTTGTACAATTCTCAGTTCTCAGTGCTCCTGACAGACAGAAATGATAGACAAAATGTGGTAATTGTCCCACTGTGTTAAGTGAACCATCACTGTCCATGTAAAGTGTTACCTTCGGGACACGCAGGACACTTCGTACAACGGTCAATGTTGTGGTATTTATCTCTATAAGTACCCTCATCACAGGGATGGCAGTCAGATGATAGATCAGTTTCAGAGCAAAATCCCTTCAAATAAGTTCCTGACAAACAAGTAAAAACATTTTGTCATCCTCAAAGGTAATCAGCCAATTCTCAGTCATTGGCTCATCATCATCAATGTGATCACCAGATTTAGCAATACATCTGACTTACACAGCATTACTTTTCATGGTTTATAGAAATAAAAACTTGTTGTTTTTATTCAATTTAGTTTTTAAGTACTTACCTGGTTTACAGTAGTTGCAGCACAGGTCACCGTGAACATATTGCTTCTCTCCACACATTTTGGTCTGTCCCATAGTCCAAGTGCTCAGTAAAAGCACAATTAGAAGTGCTCTCGGGAGACTGAGATGAATCATCTTAATGAGAGCTTGCTCATATGGCTCAGGGCTTTTATATTGCCATCCTCTGTGACGTCACTTTGACTTTGGTTTTCTCAGAGAGAAGGGGTGTTAGATTACAGGAAGTTAAAGACCACTTATCAAAACAGAGGTGCAAAAAAAAAAGAAAAACATAATCTGAAGTGTTGGGTGAACTGAAATTTTTTTTTTTGGTAATCTGATTTTTGGTAATTAGATTTTTTTTTATATAGATAACCTGGAATATGAGTTTGAGTATTGTTTTAAAGTCTCCTTGTGAATTATTGACATTGGAGTTTCTCATCTAAACACAGTATGAACTGGTTTTAAGATGACATACGAAGATATCAAGTACTAAAACGTACTAAAAAGAACAGAGAGAATTTATCTTACATAATGTAAAACAATATAAGAATAAGATGACAGAATTTAGTCAACAATGATCAAACAAAACTTGTGGAATAAAAGCAGTAAGGAAGAAAGCAAAAGAGGAGCTAATAGTGAAAAATAACTATATGGAAACCCCTAAATGACAAAATTGACAGAATCAGACATGATCTAAAGAAACCAAGTAAAATAACTGCTGACAAAAACGTAACCTAAGGTTAGAAACATAACCAAACGCAGTTTCTCTCTCTCACCAAAACAGATACAATCCAGCTACTTAATATATTAATACATTTATATACGGTGGCAATGACCTGCCAAAGAGAGTTGACGAAAATTAAGACTTAAATTACTCTGCATGGCACATGAGTGTCGGTGTCCCACACACTGTTGGGTGCATTTCATTTTTATAAGTAAAAGGTCATAGAGTGATCCATAAAAGAGAAAATATCCAGTGAGTGATAGTTGTGTAACAGTATGACTTATTGATGTTGGATAAAAAAGGAGAATTAGCTTAGCGTTCAAATAACTGGTTGTCAAAACTGAATGTGAAATAAAATCTCTGGACAAAGAACAAATCAAACCTGTGATATGACACAAACAGGCTTATTAAATACAAATAGTAGAAATGTTGCATGGTCTGATAATTCACAATTTTAACTCCAACATTCAGATGGAAAGTTTCAGAATATTTTTTAATTATACGAGAGTGTGGACCCAAAGCAAAGTGCTGTAGAAACATTAATAACATAATGCACTGATTTCAGGACAGTTATTTTGCACATGTCTTTTAGTTGCTGGTAATATTTGGAACACTGTAAACTGGTAGTATGTAAATGTGTCTAGGTTATGCATTAACCCTCCTTTCAGTTTTTTTTTTTTTTTTTTTTTGCAATCTTTGCTCAGTTTGATCATCTTGAGCTTCTTCCCTAAAATCAACCAAACTAATTTACAAAACTAAATAAAATTATTTCAGTGAGAATATAAGTTCCAACAAACCTAATTTGTATAGAAAAAAAAGAAGCTGAAAGGTTTCACTGTGGTTAAGAGACTTCAGAGACAAAAAAAAAAAAAAAGCTTTTTTTTTTCCTTTAAAGGTTTGAGCGTGATAAAATCTTTGTAGTAAGTTTCAGGTGCTCATTACATTTTTTTTCTCTGTTGATGTTTTTCAGTGTTCCATTGGTGAGGGAGGGTGACTAGCTGGTTTCCACGGGTCCTTCTTTAGGATGTGGTTAAAAAACATTTATAAGTTTATTTGAAAAATATATATAATAGTATTAATTCTTTACTGGTTTAAAGTAGTTTCTACTCACCTTTTTTGTTGTTTTGCATAAGAGATAAAAAGCTAAGAATAAAATAATGACTAAGAAGATAAAAATCAATAAAATTAAAAGTTATTCAATCTCACTTATAACACCGACTAAGTATTAAATCATAAACACAGAGTGCACCTATCCTATCAAACATACAGAGTCCTACAATTTAATAAACTTAGACCCAATTTTTTTTGGACATCAGTCAACCTTGAAATAAAACATTGAGCATTTAACGAACTAACCTTCAAACGCCATTGTCAGCAGTTTTGCTAGTACATCTGTTACATGCTTTGATGTAAACTAAGTTTAGGGCATGCTCTTTTAAGCAAGCATATTTGTATAGTATCCTCCTCAGAATAGAAACCAGTAAAATAGCTTCTTTTTGATGTGCTAAAGAAGATCTATATTAAGAGTAACATTATTCATGAAAGTGTTTAAGTGGTGTTTATTATTTAAGATCTTTGGCTTCCTTGATTGTCTGAAATGAAATATTTGAAATTGTCTGCAGTTTCGAAAAGAAGCGGAGAAGGGGAAGAACGTGAGTTTGCAGTCCATCTACATAGATGTGTGAACTCTGCATATACGTGATGATATGTAAAGGATGATGCTTTTAACCTGCTGTCACTGTGGTCTGACAGTCTCGAGTTCTCAGGTTTGGAGTTTCCTGGTAAATAAGACTCAGTGATCAAACATTCTGATATTATTCCAAACGAAGCCAGATTGTTACACCTTTAAATGACAGAAAATAACACTGAGCAATTTAAACACTCAGCTATCATTTTGGTATTGATCAACTCACCAAGTGCACTTATGGGAAAGATGAAGCAAAGAAAGAAGGAAATCACCTTCCCTTTTGATACTCTCCTTAGACACCTGATCATACATAAACCCAATATGAATTTTTCATCTGGAATCCAACTTTATGTATTTTGTGTACTCTGAGATGGATACCTTAGAAAAGTAACAATCTAGATTCTTATTATGATCATCAACCTTACTTTCCAATTGAATATTCATACCCATTGATTTATTTTGTGAGTTACTTCACCACCTGGATCAAGAAGTTATATTAGCTATGGCAAACACATTTCAGAAAAAGACCATTATACCAAGATTCAAACATGGTGGTGGTAGTGTTGTGGCCTCAGACTGCTTTGGTGCTTTATGATGTGATTAAATTACTGTAACTAATTAAACCGGGATTTTGTTCTCGAGCAAAAAATGTCTCCCCATGAGCTAGTAACATTAAACTGAAGGCCACATGGGTTATGCACGTCATCAATGCCTACTGAAGCTTATTTTTCAGCAAAGGTGCAGCTGCAAAGACTGCAATAAGTACGTATGTCTTTGTTTTGTAGGAACAAGTCTGTTTGATTAACGAAACTGATAAGCAAAAAGCTGAACTGTAAGCAACATTAAGAAGCTAAATCAAACCATTTTACTGCATCAGACGATATCATACCTGAAGCAGCTAACTGGAATAAGGGAGATAAATGCTGGTGATAGCAGAATGCATGACAAAGTCTGAGGTTATGATTGATATAATCATTTTTTTTTCTTAAAGCTCACAGTTTCCAACTTGTCTCTAAAAAAGCAGATATAGACTTTTCTGTTCTGTGCTGCTTGTATATATAATATACCTGATCCACTCAGACCATTGTAAATAAAGATCCTTTTATTACGCTTCATGAGGTTTGATAACATTCTGTGCTTCTTTGTCTGTAGTACAGATATTGCAGGTTTGTTTACGTTTTAAGTTACAGTATCATATGTGAAAGGCTAAATTTGAAATCTAAAACACTTCCTAAAAAGGTTTACATAGAGCATAACTGTGATTCAGTGGCTCATTGTTCCTTTTTTCTGCAAAATCAGCAAACCTGATTGTTATTTCTACTTTTTACCCCAGTATCTGTTATAAAATGATCACTTATAGCATGTCCAGTTTTGATTTTTTTGCCTTTGGTAAACCTAGTACTAGTGAGAAGCTGGTCCTTTCAAATTCAGACTCAGAAACCCCCTACCCCACCACTAACAAAGCCCCTCACAAAACCATACACAATTGAAATTGCTGACTTTTAAAGCTTTAACTAACGCAAACGTTCTGCTTAGTTCAAAATGTTGCTTGCAGCACATCTGTGGTAAACAGCACAACCACACTGACAGCCTACTGATGTCTCTACACTGGCAACTCTTTACACAGCTACATCCAACAGACAACCCAAACTTTCTCTAACTGAAACACACGTCACTAGAGCGTGTGTGTGTGGGGGGGGGGAGTAATTTCTTGACACATCTAGGCTCTGTGTAGATACTTTTTTTTTAAACCCTTGCCAATAAGAACCATTGATCTTCCGCTACATTTTTCCAGTAGGCACTGTCTACATTATTACAAGTTTTCCATGGCATGTGGTCATGGTAATTCAGGCTCTACTGAAGCCACACAGAGGAGCATCAATCCTGAAAATATGCAATATGGCCATGCAGCACCATGCGGACCTCACCATTGAGACAAGCATAAACCAACCTTGAGCTCTAGTCACTTTGAATACATTTACAATAGAAGGATGTTGGTGGAAATTGTCTTGTAGGAGGCCTAGAGGAAGACCGAAGAGACTTAGGGTCGGATCTATCAAAGGTTTGCGTGTGTAAAAACGTGAGCTATTTCACTGCGCACGCTAAAAAATGTACAAACTGATCTATCAACAGCGTGCTAAAAGGATTTGGTCTTTAAAACGTGCTAAATAGCGCCTCTTATCCATTTAGTACTTTTTCTGCTATGAATATGCAATATGGGCCGTTTACACGCAAAAGTGCGTCTTGTGGGAGGAGAACATGTAAATATATTAATTTAGCACTCGCAAAGTGATTTATCAAACCTGAAAGCTATTTTGCTAACGGTATCTGGTGCAAATGGTCTGTATGCGTAATTGCGCACACATGGCAGCGGTTATTGTCGCAAGAAGGAGACATCGAAATGAAGCAAGTGGAGGGGAGAACACATTTTTTCACTACGTGTGAATATTTTTGGAATGAACGAGGAAACGATCATCAAAACATATCGTTTATCCAGCATTGCCATTTTGGAGCTGTTGGGGGAACTCCGAATGGATTTGGAGCCAGCCACAAGGAGGACCCACGCAATACCAGATATCACAAAATTCCTTGCAACATTGCACTTTTTTGCATCTGGGTCATTCCAGCGTACGGTTGCAGTGAGAGCTGGGATCTCCCAATCTGTCATGATCAGGCAGGATTTCTAGCCCAAACGCAGAACTCACAGACACAGAGAGGCA